GGGGGTGCCTCGAGAGGGGGTGATAGAATACAGGCAGTCTCGTTTTTGGCAGGGCCTGCGTCCTTACCCGATCTGAATGGCACTTTTTTCTCATCACTAGACTTGGCAGGCCCGCCAGCTTCACTGGACACCTCGCGACGCCTCAAATTCACACCAAAACGTGAGGACGCCTCCTTCACCGATGGCTCGGCCGTTCTCACGTCGTTGTTTTTGTCGTCTTCGTCTGGATCTTCACGCGATCTCCGTTCAATCTTCGATTTTCTCATGCATACTGGAGAGCCCGATGGTCTGGGTGGATGTGTGGCTTCGTTAATTGATGTTGAGTCGTAATGCTCCTCGTTGGGGGGCGGTGGGAGGTCGAGGGGCGGCGGGGGGAACTCGAGATCAGCTAGAGTCGGTTGAATTGATCGTGAGGGACTGGCTGTTCTGAATGTCGATGTATTCGGCGCACGAAACGTTCGCAGGCCAATGCTCTCGGGATTGTTCTTTCTGCCCGACATACCACGACTTCTTGGGGAATTGGGGGGTTGATAAGTATTGACAACTCCACTCGACGAATTGCTTCTCGTCATTTGGGGCTGATTCCTAAGATTATTTTGACGCGGTGAGAGCGAACGATGCTGGGATAACTCTGTGGCTGGATCGTGATGCTGGGGGTGAGGTGGCTGCGGTTGATGCTGCTGGTCAATTATGGCAGGGGCCTCACCACCAGACGGCATTCCACTCTGACGCAGTGACTCCAGGTAAGCTCCAATTCTCGCACCCTTGGGCAACGTGCCATAACGATTTATCGCACGTTTAACATTTTGCACTTCCAGGGCACCCACGTGCACCAGCTGGAACAAGGTTTCATGCCCACGTATTTATTTAATGCGTTGAGAATTAATGTTCTCAGTTTTAATGAAAGAAAATAAGCTGTGACTATTCAAGCAGTGCTAGATGCATTTACCGATGGACTCTGATTGAATTTTAATGATTTAGTTGGAAATAAAGTGGGAGGCAACCAAAAACATGGCACAACTACTGGCTACCACCTTCGTAAAAGCTTCGCGTATTTGTTTTTATTTTGGGTTTTTTTTTCTCTTTTTTTTCTGTTATTTATACCTTCTGTGGTAGTACTTCCTTAGATGGATACTGTCGTGTTTTAATTTGTTTCTGATTGCACTGTATGGTGATCTCTGGTGATGCAGATCGCTGCAGTGGTGGTAAATTAGGCTCGGCAGTACCCTGGGACCCATCACCGTCCTCATCCATCTCGCAGCCTCCCGTCGGTACTGACGCCATTGTCACGAGATCTCGCGTGATACCTGGGTTTTTTTAAGTTCAAATAAAAAAATAATGTGTGTACTAAAGTTTTTTCGCTGTAATTTTTGAGTTTTTGATAGTATCCACGCTGGGGTGGATCATTGGATGATGATTATTTGTTTGTATTTTTTTTTTTTTTATGAATGAGAGGCTGAAGCGTAATCGATCAGAGGTGGTGGCAAGCGCTGTTCAAAGCACGAGCGTTTTCATTAATTCGATTTCTCTTTGCAATTTTCTATTGCTCAGGTCATTCTCCGTAAATCTAATAATCCGACCGACTTGGTGAATTTTTTTTCTGATAACTCCTAAAGGTCGTTTTGTTCATTCAACAAACGTATTCCTTTTGTGTGGGTATTAGTAAACTCACGTAACACTGCTTGAACTCGATTAAAAACTTGATGAGTCGATGAGAAAATAAATGAGTCAAGCTACGATGATTAATGTTTCATATGAAAATGGTATGAATAAAGTGGCAGGATTTTTTAACGTGAATATCACAAAATAATACTATAAATTCTACATTTACGATCGCTAATTCCAATGCCATGCAGATATGTACATTATTAATTGTTTTTTCTCATGAGAATTGAGGAGAAAATAAATATTTTGATAAATGAAAGAACAATACTTTGACAGTGTAGATCGGGTTTGGTGAGATCTATGAATGCATGACTTGATAAAAAATAATAATTGCACTATGACTAATTATACATTCCGAACTGTCTTCGTAACACAAGTCACACGAAAGAACAGCTCTTAAAGGAAAAAAGAAGATTCCGGGAGAATGACCCACGTAAATATTACACTGTAATTTTTTTTTAATTCAATCCGAACATTGATTCTATGCACGATGCAGATTATCGAAGGGGTTGAGGCTCAATAAAGATTCATTTAGGAGTAATAATTCATTTTATCTCCATAAGCGACACGTGCATTATCTTTTATGGATGCTTAAAATGTTTTGAGATTCAGTGAAATACCTTCAAAAACGTTATCAATACCATTTAGATCGGTCCCATCGTCTAATGTAACAGCGCCTACATCGATATTCTGCTGATCTTGCTCCTGGTAAGCTGAGTCACGGAATGAACTGCAGGATGACAATAAACTGGACAGAGAAAAATTGACAATGGCTCAAAATGCTGAGAAAGTTGATGCTAAAAATAAATGGAGAATTACCTTGTTCTCTTGGGAGGTGCTGGTGCCTGTTTTCCTTTTTTATTCGTCGATCGACGCATCTGGACAATACTGCTGTTGCCTTTATTCGAGTGCCCACTCATGAACGTACTCAGTTTGGTGACACTACTCGCACCATCTGAACCAGTGAAAACCACATGAACTACTGATTTAATACCACAGATACTGAATGAAAAAGGGAAATGTAAGAATTACAATTTTGACCTTGCGTTAAACCTGAGGTAGACAGTTGATCGGACACGAGAACAAGGCCATGAATATTCCCAGTACTTCCAGTCTGGGATTTCTTATAGGACAAAGTTGGTGTATCACCACCTCCCTGCAGTTGTTTCTCTACTTCCTCGCTGATACTGGAGTCTTGAAACATATTCTCCAGAGAATGATGAATCTCCTTAAACGTAGGTCTCTCGACAGCACTCCACTGCCAGCACTGGCGCATAAGTTCGTAAACCTTGGGTGGACAGCCAGGTGGGCACTCCATCCTGTACCCCTTCTCCAGCATATGATACACATCAGTCAAATCGACCCCAGGATAAGGGGACATTCCGTACGTAGCTATTTCCCAGAGTAGAATGCCAAATGCCCAAACATCGGACTTTGTCGAGAATTTATTGTACGCCAGGCCCTCAGGTGCCGTCCATTTGATGGGAAACTTGGCACCAGCGTGTGCTGTGTAAGTGTCATCCCTCATGAGCCTTGCCAATCCAAAATCAGCGACTTTCACCAGGTGATTTTCACCAACTAGACAATTCCTTGCGGCTAAATCTCTGTGAATAAAATTCCTACTCTCGAGGTAGCTCATTCCACTGGCAATCTGTGTCGCCATGTGCATCAAAACCACAGCATTAATCTGGTGTTTACTCTCGTTACGCAAATAATCGAGAAGATTTCCTTTGCTCATGAATTCAGTTATAATGTAGAAAGGTGGTTCACGTGTGCACACACCGAGCAATTGCACCAAATTTCTGTGCTTCATTTCCTTCATGATGGCAGCTTCTTCGAGAAAATCTTTCAGTGCCATTGTGTCTTCCTTCAGTGTTTTGACAGCAACAGTCATGTTGTATCTCTTCCAAACAGCCTCGTAAACATCGCCATACTGTCCACCCCCCAATTTATGTCTCATGACAATGTCAGTACGATTGATCTCCCACTCGTCGGGCTCTGGACTCAGTGGAAATACTGTCGGCTTATTGTGTTTGGGTGCTGGATAAAGCAGTTGCGTTATTAATCCATCCGCCAGCATTGAATGATGATGGACGAGTTCAGCGAGTGTATTGAATTTACTCTCAGTTGTGACAAACATCTTTCCATCGCTATCCTCATTTATTCTGTAGTGATAAACTCTACCCTCGTATCTTAATGAAATACTTCGTTGTCCAGGACTACTCTCAGACTCGCGCACAAGAAAACTACCATTGATACCGGAGCTCAACAAATATTCAGCTGCATTTCTCGCTATTCTTCCATGATACCAGGAATGTTTTTCTAACGAATTAACCGGTGTTACGTAGTTGGATGGCACCCATCCCACTTGGCCAGTGCTGGAGTGGGCTTCACACCATTCACCGCTCTTATTGTAACTTAATATCCGAACTTGTTCGCCTGAAAAAAATAAAAGAAGGACAAAACGTTTTAGGTGATACTCAAATTGCAATTGACATTGGTTAGTTGCTAATTGAAGAAGAGAGGGGGTTATGAAGTGAAGCGCCAAGGAGTTTGGATGGATAATGAAAGGGTGATACCTTTTTTTAAGCTAAGTTGATTCTCCCCACCAGCCTGAAAGTCATAAAGTGCAACAAACAATTGTGGATCATCTTCTTCCTGTGCTAAAAGATTCTCCTTGCTTGTCCATCTGTTAGCAGCCTCGAGTAGACTGCCACCAGTGACACTCGAGTGTTGAGAAAAATTAGACTGCTGTGACAGTGACTGGACACTTGAGCCACTCGGTGGATCACCCTCGGGCAAGGCAGGAATATGTGGTAGAGGCCTACTTTGCAAAAGTGCTTCTGCAAAAAATAATATAACAAAATGAATGATGTAATGGAGAAATAATAAGTCAACATGATTGATATCGATTGACAAAAATTATGAAACAATGAGAGACATTAATCAAATGATAAAACAATAATAGTGTACAAAGGAAACAAATAACGAGACATTTGGAAAATCAATAATGCATACAAATGAAACACTCGTTTGTGACATAAAAGAAGCATGGAGATGGAGGAAAAGGGACGACAAGAAGTTTTTTGTAAAAAAAAACATGTTGATGGGGGAAAGAGGGGGAGGTGGGAGGGGACGTTTAAGGTGGATATGAAAAAAGGGACTCACCGCTGTGCTCGGTGAAAATATTTGATCCGATGAGCCGCGATTCCTTGGGATTCCTCGGCTGTTTTCGGGCCTGTCTCACTGTCGAGCCGGCTGGTAAAACTCTGTCCTTGGTCTGTTGAGCACCCATAGTTTGACAATTACCATAGCCCTTGCACTACTCTCAATCCTTCTTTACTTCTCTCCACCTACCCCCCGCCCCCCCAAAGTTCCCCCCTTTTATATCGAAAGACAATCCACTCTATATCCTCTCTCTCACTCACTTCAACCCCCTGACCGGTTTGCCACTGAAATGTGTATCCCGAGACAATAACTCCTCCGGCGCATCGACTTCCGGCACCCCTCCAATTACGTTTTATCAACAGTTCCCTTCACATATTATCACAAAACTAACTGTGTTATTTTTTTCCCATTGAGTTTAATCAACACGAGCACCCGATGATACTATGTATGGACTAGACTCGTTGTAGACTACAAAAACACTGTTTCACTGTGGCGTGACTTGTGTGCACGTCGTTTCACATCGTCCTCGCCTTTTTTTAAAAAAATCTCCACCGTTTTTTCGCCTTTGACTCCGGATTTCGTTGATTTTTTTTTTCACACCAAGTCTATCACTCCCTCTGTCCTCTGCATGTCAATTACATGTCGGACACACGTACTACGGCCATATTTGACAGCTTTTGACGTCGATTATTTGGCTCGTAGGTGCATTGCCACAGGGCGAGGAACCCGAGCCAGCCGAGGGAGAAGAGAACACTGGAGAGAATGGAGAGAATCACACGGGATTCAAAGGGTGGGGAGGATGTGTAACTATTCTCCCTCTTCCTCACTCTCTGTCTATCCTATTCAACGAATTGAGAGCCCATACAATTTCTGTGGGAACTCTCAGGAGTTTTGGGGGAGGCGGTTGGAGACGTGTATGTGCCTGTTCGGGGTCCTGGAAAATCCAGAGGGGAGAGAGAGAGAGAGAGAGAGAGACAGGCACGCTCATTGGTCTCCCCTCGGCGCCTCTTTATTTTCTAAGGACTTTATTCTTTTTTCTCCTTTGATATTTACTCATGGCTTTTCGAGGATCTCCATGGGGTTTGCACAGATACAAAACAGCCAATCGGACGGGGGATATGCCCCCGGAGCGGGCCTGGATTGGAGTTTGACCTCGGGTGGGCTTCATTACCGATTGAGGGATATCATTTCTAAAGAGACTTTGTGATTCGTACGGATTCTCGCGAGAGTGGCTACCGGAAATCAACTAAACCGCCACCTGGGCCAAACTAAAATCCATATGTGGAGCGACAATTTCGCGGGTTATGTGATTCACTTCTGTTTTTCTGTTCACAGCCTCATTTTTCGGGTCATCTCGTCGCCAGAAAATTTACAGAGTTGAGAAGTTAACGTTGTTCTTTGAAAGCCATCTGTTCGGTCGTGATAAATAGGGGCAAAAGTGTTAAATTCCAGGGGATTTTTTGAGTCAAGTGTAACGGCCATATTGTTGATGTATCACGTGACAGAGAGGGAGCAGTGAGGTGAATGCGCCGGGTGCCTATTCGCACACACACATTTTGCTAGAGTCAAAAGAAGAAAAATTCCTCTCACGCGTGTTTAAGTTTAATAGAAAAAAATCCTCGGTATAGGCTATCGTTATTTTTTGTTATTTTAATCAGCCAAACAGTGATAATGGATCCGCGCAAATTGACGGAACTGTTGAGAGCAACTATTGACCCGGCACAGCAAAAACAAGCCGAGGAACAGCTTAATCAGGTGAGTCGTCCCTGGCTACAGAAAACGTGCTCCACGATTAATTTTCCTGTGGACTCTCTCATGTCTCTGGCGCCTGGAGGGTCACCACATCCAATGTTAGAAGACATGTGGAGTTTTGAGAATTTTTTTTGGGGAAAAAATTCATGAATTCTTCGAATGCCCTCGTATTTCTTGATTTTTCTGCCCATTAAGTCGGTGGATGAATTTTTTAGCCGAAGCATTTGCCAAGCTATCATCACATATGCATGCTCCTCGAATAATTCATTTGGAAGAATGAATCGTCCTGCGTTTTCTGCAGCGACTTCACCAGGATTTCATTCGGATTTTATGAGAGAGAGAGAGGGAGTAAAAAGGATTGTGCACCGACATTTTCATGTGTTAATATGCCCAATCCTTAGATTAGTCACTTTGGTATGCGAGGGATAACCCCAAGCTGCCAATTGGAATGCCAATCATATGTATTCCATTCTTGAATTATATATAACCAACATTTCCCTGTTTCCCCTCAATCCAATTGTCTGGGGGGATGTGATGGGCTCTCGCTCCCTGAGCCAAAGGTTTAGGTTCTGATTCTGGCTAAATAGATATATAAAGAGATGAAAATTAGCAAACAAGAAGAGAATACACCTATTGCATCATGATGCATCATCATCCCAATGAATGCTCTCTTTCAGATTCACAAAATTATCGGTTTCGCTCCGAGTTTGCTACAAGTAATAATGTCAAATGAGGTTGACATGCCTGTCAGACAAGCTGGTATGTAAAATATTCGATTAAGTATTACCAAAATCATAAAGAAAAGCATTTATTTCACCTCGAGCATTGACCATTGCAGGTGTAATATACTTGAAGAATTTGATAACGACAAACTGGGCTGACCGTGAACCCGAGAATGGACCAGCTCCATTTAGCATTCACGAGCAGGATCGTGCCATGATACGTGATGCCATTGTTGATGCTGTTGTACATGCCCCAGACCTCATCCGCGTTCAACTGGCTGTTTGCATCAGTAATATCGTTAAACACGATTTTCCAGGACGTTGGACGCAAATCGTTGATAAAATAACGATTTATCTGCAAAATCCAGACGCTTCCTGCTGGCCTGGCGTTCTTCTGGCGCTCTATCAGCTTGTTAAAAACTTCGAGTAAATTATTCAGCCCCGAAACAAATTTCCAAGATGAATTTATGAATCACTTAATCATTTCTAATGTCGAAAATGCGTTTTTAGGTACAAAAAAGCAGAAGAACGAGGTCCTCTGAACGAAGCAATGAATCTCCTGTTCCCCATGATCTACCAGCTGATCCTGCGTCTCCTGCCCGATCCATCCGAGCAGTCGGTCCTCCTCCAGAAGCAAATACTCAAAATCTTCTTCGCCCTGACACAGTATTCCCTCCCCCTAGACTTGATATCAAAGGATGTATTTTCCCAGTGGATGGACGTGGTGAGACAAGTTGCAGACAGGCCAGTGCCCCCTGAAACGAACGATCCCGACCTGGACGAGGACGAGCGCGCTGAATTGCCCTGGTGGAAGTGTAAAAAATGGGCCCTCCACATTCTCCACCGTATGTTTGAGAGATACGGCAGTCCTGGAACTGTAACCAAAGAGTACAAAGAATTTTCTGAATGGTATTTGCAGACATTCAGTGGTGGTATACTGGAAGTGCTTCTGAAAATACTGGACCAGTACAGGCGAAAAATTTACGTATCACCGAGGGTTATTCAGCAGTCGTTAAACTACATAAATCAGGGCGTGAGTCATGCGTTCTCTTGGAAATTCCTGAAGCCACATATGTTTGAGATTATCAGAGACGTACTCTTCCCAATTCTCTCTTACTCATCGTCTGACGAGGAGCTGTGGAACAGTGACCCCTACGAGTATATTCGCGTAAAGTTTGATATTTTCGAGGACTTTGTGTCACCAGTGACAGCAGCCCAGGTTCTACTGCAATCGGCATGCAAAAAACGCAAGGACATGCTCCAGAAGGCGATGCAGTTTTGCGTGGAAGTGCTGACGAGTCCGAATGCCGATCCCAGACAGAAAGACGGTGCTCTACACATGGTTGGCAGTTTAGCTGACATTCTTCTCAAGAAGAAGGTGTACAAAGAGCAAATGGACAAAATGCTGCTGCAGTATATTTTCCCTGAATTCAACAGTCCCCATGGACACATGAGGGCTCGGGCCTGCTGGGTGCTACACAATTTCTCAGACATTAAATTCAAACAAGAGCCCATTCTCGTAGAAGCTATTCGATTAACCACAAACGCCCTCCTCAATGATCAAGATCTTCCGGTTAAAGTCGAGGCAGCAATTTGCCTGCAGACTCTCTTGTCATCACAAGATAAAGCCAAGAAATACATTGAACCACTGATAAGACAGATAACCCTGGAGTTACTCAACATAATCAGGGAAACTGAGAACGATGACTTAACGAATGTGATGCAGAAAATAGTCTGCACTTACACCGAGCAATTGATGCCGATAGCCGTTGAGATATGCCAGCACTTGGCGAGAACATTCAGCCAGGTACTGGAGACAGATGAGGGAAGCGATGAAAAAGCCATCACTGCGATGGGCCTTCTCAACACAATCGCAACGTTATTGACAGTTATGGAGGACCAGCCCCAGATTATGGCGCAGCTGCAGCCCACAGTTCTTCAGGTAGTGGCTCACATCTTCGGGCAGAGTGTCATTGAATTTTACGAGGAGGCACTTTCTCTGGTTTACGATCTCACTGGAAAATCCATATCCGAGGATATGTGGAAGGTTCTGGAGTTGATGTATCAATTGTTCCAGAAGGATGGCTTCGATTACTTCACTGACATGATGCCAGCACTCCACAACTACATCACAGTGGACACTCCAGCATTTCTGTCCAATGAAAATCATATTTTAGCCATGTTTAATATGTGCAAAGCTATATTGACTGGAGATGCTGGGGAGGATCCAGAGTGTCACGCAGCTAAACTCCTCGAAGTTATTATTCTCCAGTGCAAGGGCCACATAGACCAGTGCATACCGTCCCTGGTGCAACTGGTCCTCGAGCGGTTGACCAGAGAAGTCAAGACTTCGGAATTGAGAACAATGTGTCTGCAGGTGGTCATAGCAGCTCTTTACTACAACCCGACATTATGTCTCGAGGCCATGGATGGGCTCCAGGGTACCCTCGGTCAATCCACAGACCCAATAGCCTCTCACTTCATCAAACAATGGATTCACGACACAGACTGCTTCCTGGGCCTTCACGACCGAAAACTCTGTGTCCTCGGACTCTGCACTCTCATCAGCATGGGCCCTGCCAGACCTCCAGCAGTCAACGAATGTGCCCAGCAGATTATTCCCTCATTGATTCTGCTGTTCGATGGTCTCAAGCGAGCCTATGCTGCTAAGGTCGCCGACGGCGAGGAGGAGCAGGAGGACGAGGAAGAGAGTGACTTCGAGGAGGAGGTTTTGTCGTCGGACGAGGATGAGATTGACGACGCTAGTCAGGAGTATCTGGAAAAGCTGCAGGACAAGGTGACGAGAGCAGCTGCACCACATGGGTTCAATGTCAATGCGTCGATGCATGATGGACATGCGGATCACAAGTCAGATGATGAGAATGATGATGACTCTGATTTCGAGGCCAATGAGGAGACCACTTTGGAGTGTTACATCACACCTTTGGACTTTGATGACAATAATCAGGATGAGTACGTGGTTTTCAACGAAGTTATGCAAAGTAAGTGGTCTTGAGTTATTAAAGTAGGGGAGAGTGGGGCTAAATGAAAGTCGAAAAACCAATGTTTTACGTAATTCAAGCACAAAAACATTTTTTATTAACTATTTTTTTTATCAACTTTTCATTATTAACTTTTTTTTATTATTGGGAGTACTGATGAGAGTAATAATTTTCCATTCAGTAGAATGGAGAATTATTGAGAATTTTTGACGGGAGAAGATTCTGTCAATGGATTAATTGAAAAGAAAATGAAACAGCAAAATCCAAAGGCCAGAGGAGGGCCAGGGGGAGACTCGGAGGAGGAAAAAGGAAAATGTTATGGTGAATTTCAATGGAATGAAAAAAGAAAAGTGTAATCGCCTCAATCTAATCAACTGAATTATAGATGAACTATTTCATATTCACTTGAAAACAGAACTGTGGATAAAATTAGCGAAAATTATTAATATTGCCGTCTCGATATAAGAAATATATGAAAAACCTTCGGGGGTTTTAATGAGGAGAGAACATATACTCAGCGATGACGAGGTCTTAGTTTGGCTGCTGGAGAGTCAGGAGACAAGCTGACTAGTGAACGTTGAGATCGAGATCTAACAGGGGAGTGGGATTCATCGTGGAGGTAGTCGCTATGTTATATAGGGGTTTCGCATCTCAGTGATTTTTTCGCACCGCATGTTCTTTTGTAATAAATAGGAAATTATTATTCCCATCAGTACTCCCAATAATAAAAAAGTTAATAAACAAATTCGCCACTAGGCCGCGAGAAAGACGAGTTCTGTAATCATATGAGGTAGAAAAAAATTTTCACGGCCGTTATTTAAATCTGGAAATCCGATGTTTAACTTTCTTTCGAAGTAATTACCCCCTCGGTTTATAATCTAATCTAAATTGACAAAGTCATAAAATAGCATAATTTTGTTCAATGAATTTTCCGCAGATATTGAGAGAACAGATCACCAGTGGTATACTGGATTGACTAGCCACCTGACGGCTGATCAGAGGAAAGCCCTCCAGGAGGTGATTTTACTTGCGGAGCAACGCAAAGCAGCCCTAGAGAGTAAAAGAATCGAACAGAGTGGCGGTGAGTTGGATGAAATCAATATCCTCTGCAGTATTTTAAATTCTATTTTCGTTTCTCACGTACGTGACTCAATTTCCAGTGTCTCATTTTTTTTTATCATTTTGATCTTTTTTTGCAGGATATGCCTTCCACTCCCAGACTGTGCCGACTTCATTTAATTTCGGTGGTACGCCCTTAGGTCGATAAAAATAAGTTTCTCTTAACATTTATATTCCTAGAACACGTATAAGTAAGTAAAGAAGGAATAAAATTAATCCTGAAACATTCAAGTACATCTGATCGATGGGCAAAGTACGAATAAAAAAATTGGACAATGAGGATTAAAAAGAAAAATAAATGAAAAACACTTATAGCACACGATTGTAAACATGACCACTTCGAAGACATTACGCATTTCCTATTTACTATTTTTGTGTAAAGTGAAAAATCTTGTACATTAACTAAATGCACTCTTTGCGTAATCACATCGTGATAAAGCCTATGTCAAAAGAAAATTTAACAAATTACGAATAGGAATAATTCAACGGATTGAACTGCGAGGCAATAAATTGAGTCTGAGCTGGTTGATTTTGTACATTGTAAAACCGATGACTTTAACGATAACGCTTTTGTCAAAATACAAACACCATTGAACGTGGTATGTATTAATTTTACATTAATGCTTTGGATACTAATTTATTTCCACTATTACTCCCTTTAGTTTATCTCTATCTTCTGACTTTTTTTGGGACATTTATAAAAATAATTTTAGTGGTTTCCATTGAACCAAACGCTGGCTGTTGGACCAGACTCAGTATCCGAAATAAGGGAGAAGTTACGTTGATCATATGGAAAATTTTAGTTTACTTTCCTTTTTCGTCATTTTTTTCTAGTTGAAGGATCTTCAGAGAGAATTGAGTTAATGTAGTATTTGTTAAGGAAAAAACTATGTTAAATCGTTGGTTTTAAATATATAAAAAAGCTACTTTTAATACATGGAGATTTGATTTTTAATCGTCATTCATACGTTTGACTTGGTTATTTTCTCTACGCTCCTCTGACCTGGTGCAATCAAATTGTAAAAATTCAGCAGAAATTACGAAAAGCCCACTCAGAATTAAAAAAAAAAACAAAATTTCTGAAAGAAAAGTGCCTTGAATGAGAGAATTGAAACATTGTACATGGAAAGGGGGCGATTGTCGCAGAATTATTGTTTCATTTATTTTTATAATTGAATATATCTTTACATAGCTGCGTGAAAATTCTTCGAGTCGCAACAATTTTTTAAATTTTTTAAATTTACATCTCCTATTTAAAAAACGAAACAGAAAAATATTGAGTGCGGAAAGTATTGAAGAGTCTTTACAAATTTCCTGACCCTCTGAAGCACTTACGCTGTCCCCCAGAGTGCCAATATTCCTCCAATTAATCATTACGCAAAGCCATAAATATTTTTCGATTATTGAAACGTAAAAAATTTAACAATCTAAAGGGGCGACAATTTTATTAATAATTTCTCCTTCGTTTATCTAAGTTTAATATCAGTTTAGAAAAAATGAAATGGTGAAAGCTGACAAGAAAAAAATATAGTTAAAAATATTTATAGCATCAATTGACAAACGAGATCGTTATGTTCCTTCGATATTTAATAAATAAAATCTGGCGTGTAATATTTTTCTCACGACTACCGCACATTTTTTCATTCACATTTTCTTCCATCGTCTTTATCTTCTCAAATATCTAAAGTTCATTTACTCAATTTAATTATCCAGCAATAGGTTTTTTTTACATAAATCTCCATATCGTCGTTTTCATATTGAAATTAAATCACGTTAGGATGCTTCTTGAGAAGATACATTATGCAATTGTCCACCTAAACTGCCCGAGCAGTGACAAAAGTTGACGCTTTGCATGTGTGCGGAAGTTTTCAATAAAAAATCAATATAAAATATCCAAATAATAAGCTTTACTGTTCTATATCTTTCGAAATAGCAATGGAGGGAATCATATCCCGTGGCTATTTTACGTTATTTAAGTTAGCCAAATATGCAAATGCTGAGACATGTTTTTTTTAAACTAAAAGAACAAAAATTATAAGAGAATGGACGTGCGATGCTGGCAATAGCGCCAATTTACTGTTTTCGTTACTGCATCGGGGAATTTAATTCTTCTCTATACGACGACGACTCGTGAGAGATTGCATTCAGAATCATGGATGTAGAAAAAAATGTATCACTTGAGACACCGTTCAAAGTAGAACGACCCAACGTAGCCCCCTCTCATCGCTTTTGTTACATTCTGTTCGAAGGTTCTCCTGTTGTTCTGTAATACCTCTGCAGCTTCTTTGTTTAGTGGATCTTCTGGGTTGGGTTCCTGTAATCATCAGAATGACATCAGTAGAACTTCATTAAATAAGTTGGGCAATAGAACGGTAAGTTGAAATTCGAAAGATATTTTTTTTTATTTTTTTTTTTAATGCTTATTTTATATCGCTTCGAGTCTGATGAGACTATATGGCGATTGATCAAGACTTTAAAAATGGTTAGATCTCACCATTCTACCCGGCCAGGAATCGAACCTGGAACCTATCCGTTGTGAGGCAACGGCCTTAACCACTACGCCAGGCCACCGGGCTATTCGAAAGATATGATATTTTTGGCATATTTTCACACTGACCCAGTATTTTCTTAATATAATAACCTATTACAGTCTACAGTGCTTTAAGGGGAGACTAGGGTAAACAGGTCAATTTCTGGACTGGGGTTAGTTTCTGGACGATTTCAACTTGTATTGAATATTCCATAAATAAAGTGAAAATTGTACTGATTATTTCGCCTTTTAATAATATTACTTGTGTATAATCACGTCATCAATTATTTTTTCTATTGATCGACATTTTAGAAATAAAAAAAATGGTTTAGTCGTCTAGAAATTAGGCGTTTCGGCTGCATTCAACTATCTCTTCATTTAAAGTACCTCTACCCTTCGGCCGGGCTACGGTGTACTTTTGGATATTTTCAGTTTTTAAATTTTTCAACTAAACTGCATGGAAAAAAATTGAAAAAAATCATACCCAGTAAGTATTATCTAAATTAAATTTCGCAAAACATTGATATCATTTCAAACATTTCCGTCTTATAAATAAATAATAAAACTTGTTTGCAAAACGGTGGATTATTTTTTATGAGGTGTTAAAAAAATTCTTGATTTTTTCACATCTAATGAAAAAAAATTCAGATTTTAATCTTTGATTACAATGGAAATGTTGATTTTCACATAAGACACTCGGTTAAATCCTGATTTTTAAACATTTCTTCTTTGAAAAACCAAAACGATAATTAAATTGAGAAAAAAAATTAAAATTCCGAATCTAATCAAGTTTTCTACAATTTTTTTTGCAGTTTTTAATAATCTTTGAATTTACCGTAAGGGTAGAGCCACTTTAATTATTCTTTGTTTTGTTATATTCACTTCAAATAATTTTTTTCTGCTAATTAAAACGTTCTTGAAGATATGGAAGCCATCATATCCTCATTTAGGTGATTCTTTTATTTTAGATCCTGCCACGAAACTCGAATTTCCCCTGACCGTCCAGCAATTGGCCTGTTCTCCCTACTATGAGTTTTAAAAGTTGCGAGATATTGACCTATATATAGCGCTAAATTCACTGTACAAAAAAGGTCATTAGGCAAATTTCTTTATCTCCCTTGGATTCGGAGATATTCCGCGAAAACTCAGCTGAGGGCTAAATCGATCGCTTTGCTACTGAATTACACAAAATACTAATTGGATTCTACAAAATTATAGTGTACCATTCCAACTACGCATTGTGCAGTAGGAACTCCACGTTGTACAATTCAATCTTGTAAATGCTAAATTTGAGATGCGCAAAAACGTCAAATTTAGCATTTCGACATTTATAACTCAAGTATGTGCAAATCAAGAAAAACAAATAATTCATAAAACTCGGGCCGAATTGGTGGTTTTTGTTATTCTTGAACTCCACATGCTCAAATTATAACTGTCGAATTGTACACAATAAATCAAATATTTACATGTTTTGCATTATACAAGGTGCAATTCAGATTGCACAATGTGTAACTGGGTTAGTACATTTCACATTTAGTAGGAATCAACGTATTTCATATCGTGAAATTAGAATGCAAGGGTTGCAATTTCAAATCGAATTTTTATTAAAACTCGATAAGAATTCTATAGGACTTTTGTCAACATGGAATTAAACAATTCTATTGGTTTGTCGCACCAATCCTATTGAAAGTTACTGTCTCATATTTTAAAAGATATTAGATAGAATGAAATTAATAGATTTTTACTGTTTTATGGAAATTGTTGGGCATAAATTGTCCAGTCATTGTTCGCTGTATCTTTATTTGTTTCTCATAATAAATCCAACAAAAAAATCATGTTCAAGAACTGTTATAGAAAAAAACTACAACAGGATGAGGTATATATAAAAATCAACATCTAGGGGAGAGTGGGGCAAAATGGACACTTCTGACTTTGTTAAAAATGTTTATAGCGTGTTGAATTGTTCATGAAATTGAATAATTTTATTTTTCAATTGAAAGAATAATGATTTCTCTCTGTGATGAGCTTAGACTAAGCTCAACTGATAAATCTGTTTCTGAGTTATGAATATTTTTAAAAAAATCAAGTGTCCATTTTACCGCTACCCTCCCCTATAGCCTTTTTTTTATTAAAAAAATATCTATTGAAAATAGAACGAAAAATCGCATCATTTTCAATTGAATCGGCACGAAAAACAAATAGAATTTTCAAATAGATTTCTTATGAAGTTCAACAGAAATTCGATAGACTTCTTTAGACGGAGCACTAGGTTTTTCTATGAAATTATTTCATATATCATGTCTTAATATAAAACGTCAATGTATTAAAAAATGAAGGGACTTCATTACGTGCAATACGTGATTTCATCTAAAAAATACTGTGTCAGCGTTGAAAAATGCCCCTTTTTGTTGTAAAAAACTCAACACCCGCAGAAAAAGTCATAATGAAAATGCGTTATCTCTCTCAAATTCGAAGAAAACGATCAAAACTCTCCTTGACCTCGAGACAACTTATTAGTTCATCCGATTCCCGATTCAATCACAATAAGTTGTTGACTCACCAAGAAGAGATACTGCAATCCATAAACAATGGAATTAATCGTGAGTACAGGCTTCCAGTCTTCCCTCAAAATGTTGAGACACACATTTCCCTCAAGATCAATATTTGGATGATACACTTGAGTTTCGCACTTGACTTTTGGCGGTTCGTGGGGATAATTCGGTCCAACCTTAAAGCTAAATGTGAATTTTCCGCCCCTGTAAAAACCCTGCAATGTCCACAAAAATTCATGATGTACTCGATCACACAGTAAACCGTGATGATGACTCTGATAATTGTCATTACCTCATCGGGACAAATAACTAATTTAAAATTTAACAAGTCATCGGGATCGGGGAACTCTGTGTTGCATGTTTTGGGAAGATTCAGTTCGTTAATATCTGCGAAATAACACAATGCAGTTCAACGGATGAATGAAAAATGTTTCTCAGTTTCTTGAAATTCTCGTGTAAATGAATCTAACCTTTAGTAATCCTGAGCTGTGCCGCCGATGCCTTCTTTTGAGTACCTGCCTTCGGTGATTCGCCATCTTTTTTCGCTTGTTTTAACGAAAATAATTTAATCATGTTATCGACACTGCTAAATCAGTCAGTATGACTCTACGAGGCATACAAGACACGTTTATTGATAATATCGTAAAATTTACGAATCACAGACGTCTACGGGACGAGGGTTAAATTAAATACAATGGTTTAACAGTAAAGGAAAATCCTAGAAATAAGTTATTTGACAAGCGCGAGCTACACTCGCCTCAACCGACGTCGCACTCACGACCTTGACTAGAGTCACGGGGGTAGGTCAGATCTCATAAACATCTGAACGCAGATAAGCAGATAACTCCGTAAATTTAGCATTGGACCTTTAAAAACACAGATAGAGATGCAAAATGACCGCAGGGGAGGGTAGGGTAAAATGGACACTTTAGACTTTTTTTAAATTATTCATAACTCAGAAATGTATCAATAGAGGTCAGTTTAGGCTCATCACAAAGGGAAAGAATTGTTCTTTGTATTGAAAAAAAAAAAGATTAAATTTCATCAAAATTTCAACCCGTCACTAATATTTTAAAAAAGTCAAAAGTGTCTATTTTACCTCAACCTCCTCTAATTTTTTTAGATCGCGTCATGTATGAGCAAATGACGGTCATATGACGCACCATAATTTTCTAACTTGAATAAAATCATGGTCACAAATGATTTGTACGCAAATTGGTGTGAAACAAATTATATAGGTGCATAATGACGGTCACAATTAATTTCAAATTTGTCATTGTCATAAATGGAAATAATAGTCTCATTATATATGGGTGTTTTTTCCAATTATTGGTGTGATTTTGGACTTTCAAAAATTTAATTTTGTTGAAGCTTCTATATGGTTTTTTCATGTTTCAAAAGGCCTAAATTTTTTTTTCAATTTTCTTCAAATTTTATTACGCCCATAAAGTTCATTTTTGAGTTTTGTGAGTTTTTGACAAAATTTCGCGTCTCAGCACAGGTCAATTTTTTCGGGTGTTCAATAAGTGTTTCCGACGAAAATGTTCCGTTCTTTCAATTGATCATGGTGCCAATTAGCTCACGTCGTCGAAAGTGTTTTAAAATCGCTAAGAAAGTAGAAAATTTTGTGTGTTACCTCCTTTCCCCAGCTCGATTGGATATTTTTTTATTTCTTTATCCAATGTGACTATTTTTATGAAACATTGAAAAAAGGGACTGGGACGCGGATTCGCTCTAGCCATTTTTTTTTCAAATTTCTTTTTTTTCCTTTTTCCAATTTTGTATTTTTTATTTTTTCATTTAAAAATTCATCATTTATCGACCATTCATGGACCATTAATTAGGGACCATAAATAATAAATTTTGGAATAAAAAAATTACAAAATGAGAAATTGGGAAAAAAAATTTAAAACGAAATGTGAAAAAAAAAATATGGATAAAATATTTGGATAGAACAAAAACCCTGAATTATTATTATTTAATCGGAGACGAAAAATTTCCGTTGGAATTACCTATTGAACACCCGAAAATAACTGATTTCTGCTGAGACGCGAAATTTTGGCAAAAACCGACAAAATGAAAAAAATTACTTTGGGGGCGTAATAAAATTTGAAAAAAAATAGAAAACATCTTTTTGAGCCCTTTTGAATGATAAGAAAGCCATACAACAAGTCTCAAGTTTCAACAAAATTAAATTTTTGAAAGTACAAAACCAAACTAATAATCAGATAAAAAAACTCATATGAAAAATGCTCTCAACTTGCACGTCATTATGTGTATTAGGCTAATACAAAATGGATTTCAAATAAAAATTCATGAAGAAAAAATGAAGTGGCATCTATATAGATGCAGAATGATTTATTTTTATTTTGCAAGTTGTGGGGTCACAGAAAAGGGGGTGGAAATTTTGACATCCTTAATAAACGCCTCGTCATGTGACCGTCATATGACGCATATGTATCTAGTCTCGATTAAAAGTTAACATCTGAGTTATGTTGAGGTTAGAGTTTGGGCGGCGTGAAACTAGACTTTGCGGACTTGCGAAAGTTCATTGCGTTTCCGTGGTAACGGCATAACAGATCAATTTGACAACTCCGTGATATCGGAGGATACAAACAAGAAAGTTTGTTAGCTGTTGTTGGAGTTCATTGTTGCTCAAGATGCGGGCACACCCAACTTGGGTGGATAAAGTCCAGGATAAAACGGAGCAATGGTAAATATTTGTATTTTTACTATTTTAGCGATGTTGAATAATTCATTGATGTTCGTAATTCTAGCATTTATGATCTGTGTTTTAATCCTGATGGGAGTCAACTCATTGTTGCTGCTGGCCAGCAAGTACTTGTGTATGAATCAGAGAAGGGGGTGTTGATTCAAACTTTAAAAGGTAAATAAATGGATTTGATCGTGGGACAAAACAAACTATTGAACAATTCAGTTACTCGTTCACTTTTTGGTGACACGCACGGAAAAATTTAAAAGAAAAATCTAACGCATTCGCTGGAAAATTTGATTGAATTTTATTGAAAATTGTCTAAGTTTTTTAGTAATTTTATAGAAAAATCCTCGCACGTTTCTTTTTCAATAGAGAATGTTCATCAGAAATTATTTTGTAGAAAAAATTAAAATATTTTCATCTCATGCAATTAAGATGTTCTTTTTCTTTCATTTTTTTTTCTTTTCATTGGAAAAATAAAACAAGAAAACTCAAGCCGAGAAATTTTAATAGGAAATATTTCAATGGGATAAATTGTCCGGAATCAAATTTTATCATTTTTTGTTATAAAATAGCTACCATAAAACATTTTTATTGTAGTATTAATTTTTTACAGCAAGAAGAAACAAACTGCAGTGGAACGAACATAGAAAATGTATACCGCGAAGTTTTTATACGAAAAAAATCCAATGAAATAAGTTGTCTGCCGAATAATTCATTTTTTTCTAAGTATTCTGCATTAAACATTTTCATTAAAAAAAACACTTGAATAAACTAATTTTTCACTAGAATTGTTGAGAAACTAATAGAATTTTCAATGCACAGAGAATTCTATTAGTTATTAATTCTTTAGAGAAATTCTAGTGTTAATACTGGAACAAATCCCAATGCATCGGCTATGCTGTTAAGATAAAATTTCTAGGAATTTCTGATAAAATATCTGGGGATTTCTGTGAAAATTTCATATAACAGCGAAATACATGCACGTGCTACTCAATAAAATTTCTACTGCCGGCACTGGAATCTTTTCCTTGGCCGTCATTTTGCGCCCTTTTTTCCCACGTTAGCACTAGAATTATACTATAAAATTTCTCGCCGTCTAGAAATCCCACTTGCCTTGTGAATTAAAAAATTGATAAAATAGAACGCAAACGTTAAGCCCATATGTAAATCGTTGGCTGAAGGCCATCGGGCGATGGCCTATTGTAAGAAAATTATTGTTCTTGCAATAAATTTCGTTAAAAATGAAATTAATTAAAAAATGGCTTCAAGAACATTTATCGATTTTCGTAAACTACCCCAATAACTTATTCTCTTTCAGGTCATAAGGATACAGTGTACTGCGTATGCTACGCAAGAGACGGGAAAAAATTTGCGTCGGGCGGTGCCGACAAGAGCGTGATCGTGTGGACCTCAAAGCTCGAAGGAATCCTGAAATATTCCCACAACGATGCAGTCCAGTGCATGCAGTTCAACCCAGTGTCCCACCAGCTCGTCAGCTGCTCAATATCCGACCTCGCCTTTTGGTCCTCCGAGCAGAAGGCAGTCCAAAAACACAAGTCTGGGGGTCGAGTCAACTGCTGCGCCTGGACAAGAGACGGTCAATACCTAGCGATTGGCTTAGCAGCTGGCTACGTGTCTATCCGAAACAAAAACGGCGAAGAACAAGCGAGAATCGAGAGATCAGGAGCAACATCCATATGGAGTTTATCCTGGGGTTCCCTGAAGGACGACTCCAACATGGACGTCCTCTGCATCGCCGAATGGGGCGGAACCATATCCTTCCACACCCTATTCGGCAAACAAATCGGTCGCGAGAGAATTCTGAACTTCATTCCCCTGAAAATCACGCATTTTCCTGAAGGCCAGTACCTCCTGGTGGCCGGGAGCAATAAAAAATGTCTCCTGATGACCCACGAGGGGATCCAGCTGGCGACAGTGGGCGACGGTTTCTCCTCCTGGGTCTGGAGCTGTGCAGTCCACCCCTCCTCATCCCAAGTGGCTGTGGGAAGCCAGGATGGCACGATCACCTACCTCCAGATGACCTGGAGCATCGTCCACGGTCTCTACGGGGATCGTTACGCCTACCGCGAGAACATGACTGACGTGATAATCCAGCATCTGACGACAAACCAAAAGGTCCGAATTAAATGTAAAGATTTGATTCAGAGAATTGCAGTCTACCGAGACAAACTAGCAGTTCAATTACCAGAACGAGTGATCATCTACGAACCCTCTGGCACCAACGACAGCATGCACTACAGGATTCAGGAGAAACTTCCGCAGACCCTGGACTGCAATCTCCTCGTGGTGACGTCCAACCACTTGGTGTTGTGCCTCGAAAAACGACTTCAGAGCCTATCGTTCACTGGAGTCGTAGAGAGAGAGTGGATCCTAGATAGCCCTATCACGTACATCAAAGTGGTTGGAGGCCCAGCAGGCAAGGAGTGCCTGGTGGCGGGTCTGAAGAGCGGTCAAGTAATGAAGATTTACCTGGACAACCCGTTCCCCGCACATTTGGCCAAGGTCGAGGGCCCTATTCGCTGCTTGGACGTCAGTTCACTCAAAGAAAAACTGGCTGTCGTCAGTGAAACCAACACTTTATCAGTATTCGATCTTTACACCGAAGAGAAACTCCAGGAGTTCTACGACGTCACGAGTGTCGCCTTCAACCGTGCCTTCGAGGACATGATGTGCTTCTCCGGTAGAGATTACTTAGCAACTAAAGTCGCAAATTTCCCGGAGTACAAGCAAAAGTTCTGTGGATTTGTCGTTGGGCACAATGGCTCGAAAGTCTACTGCATAAATGGAACCAACATCATCAGAGTTGAAGTTCCACTGTCCTCGACGATGTACCAATATCTGGAGATTGGAATGTTCGATGAGGCTTATGCAATCGCTTGTCTCGGGGTGGCTGAGAGTGATTGGCTGGCTCTGGGAATTGCAGCTCTTGATAAATTGGAGTTGAACATAGCTCATGCTGCATTTGCGAGACTCAAGAAACTACGTTACATTGAAATTGTGTCTGATATTGAAGAGAAGTTGAAGTCTGGGGAGTGGGGGAAGGAGGCCTGCATGGCGACAGCTGCTGCGGCGATGGGGAGGCTGCGAGAGGCTGCGAGACTTTACCAAAAAGCTGGATTGCAGCAGTACGCTCTTGACATGTACTCTGACCTGAGGATGTTCGATATAGCCCAAGAGTTCATAGCAGCTGGGAACACGCAGGATAGAACAGTTCTCCTTCGAAAACGTGCGGAGTGGGCGAAGAGTTTGGGAGAGCCTCGAGCAGCCGCAGAGATGTTTCTAGCAGCTGGTGACATCCAGAGAGCCATAAACATCATAGCGGAGTACGGATGGATTGATATGTTGATAAAGGTTGGGAGACAATTAGACAAGGCTGAGCGCGACAGTCTGTCCATCATTGCGAAGAAGCTGAAGCAACTGGGAGCGACTCATGGAGCTGCTGAGATCTTCAGTCGTCTGGGGGACGACCCGGATGTTGCTGATGTTCTTGTTGATGCTCAGGCCTGGCCAGAGGCCTTCGAACTTGCAGAGAGGAACCCCAAGTTGAAGTCCAGGGTGTATGGACCATATGCGAGGTGGCTGGCAGAGACTGGGAGATTCTCAGACGCTCAGAGGGCTTTTCAAACTGCTGGACAGCCTGAAGAGTCGATCGTCGTCCTCACGACATTGGCGGGTAACGCAGTCTGCGAGAGGAGATTCAGGGATGCTTCTTATTTCTACTGGCTTCTCTCGCAATTGAGTTTAGAGTTGAACAAGAATCCCGAGGAGATTAAAATTATATTTACGGAGTATTCTGATAAAGCTGATGTGTATTATGCGTATTATGAGGTGTTTAAGTACATGGAGGAGCCTTTTACGTCGTTAATGCCTGAAGCACTCTTCAATATCTCTCGATTTTTGTTGATGAAGATTCAGGGAATGAGAGTCGATGGGATTTCGAAACTTACGATAACTTATGCACTGGTGAAACAGGCGAGGATTCTTGGTGCTAATAAATTAGCGATGCAGCTGTTGGAGAGGCTGAGGGGAATGAAGGTTCCAGAGCATCTTCAGGCGCAGATTGAAGTGTCGACTCTGGGGGCTAGAGCTTATCAGTACAGGGACCCTGAGGAACTGCTGTCACTGTGTTATAGATGCTCGACGTTCAACAGCCTCCTACCAGCGAATAATACTTCTAGCAACAGGTGTATCCAATGTGGACTCAAGTTCCAACACTCTTTTGTCATGTTCGAGACTCTCCCTCTCGTGGAGTTTGAACTGGACAATGCTATCACTGATGAGGAAGCTGAGAAGTTGATTGAGGAGTCTGTGCCTTCTGCTGATAATTCTTCTGTCGTCGAGGACCAGTTGACGATAAATCGTAATGAGGCTGACTTGTTCACTGCGAGGCTGATCAAGTTTGATGATAAGACTGGAGGATCGATGATCAAGGTTGGCAGGGGGGTTTTGAGGAGTATGGAACCATCCAGTGTGCTAATTGTTAAGTGGCCAGAGCCTTTCAAGACTAGGTATTATAGGAATCTGTTGACTGATCTCCAGGTTACCTTCTGCAAATCGTGTCTGAGGGTGAGGATTTTATTATACTTTGGCACATGTACGAAGAAATTTTATGGAGCAAGTCAATAGAATTTTATTTTTCTGATGGGGGGCTCCGCCCCTTGCTCGCTCCGCTCGCCAACCTGGGGGGCACGGCGCGATTACGTGGACGTGTGTAACGAAGGGTTAAATATTTTTTCAGTGGGGAGAACAAAATCGAGTAAAAAAAACTTTAAAAAATTGATTGGGATTTTCTATAAAAATCAACTTAACAGAATAATTTCTATACGGAGGTGTAATTCTACGAATTTTTTCTATAAAATAGTTTCTACTGAAAAAAACACGCAGATAAGCTGTGGAATTTTTCAAGAAAGTCGGCGAGAAAGTAATAGAAGTTCAGTAGAAAGCCAAGAATTCCCTCACGCATTCTCGAGCTTTTTCTATACAATTTTTTCGTGTGTGCAATGGAGAGGTGGAATGAGATAAGTCAATTTTAATTGACAATCTATTTTTTGAAAATGTCTGGGCATTGAGAAGAGATGCAAATATTTTCATAGGAATTTTTTTCAAGCCATTAGTTCAAAGTCCGAGTTAGGTTGACTTATCCTGTTCTATCACTCCACTTTAGATCCCCTTCGACATTTTTTCCTTGACGAGAAATTAATGAGAATAATTTCTTCTAGTTCTTCCACGCAGACGACTACGAATTAGCGCTCCTCCGGCACGGCCACTGTCCCTTCTGCAGGATCTCAAGTTCGTCAGTGAATTGATTGAACTCTAGATTAAAAATCACATCACGTACCTGAATTTAAAAAATTGGTAGCATTTACCATGTGTGATCGAAGGTCGGATGATACCCTTTGATCAGTAATAAAGGCATCGGATATCTAAATCCTGTTGCTAATATGTGCGAGGGATCTTCACTGTCTAGTTGATTGTTGCCTTTCGAGGGAAAATTGATAAACGGTTTCTCGAAAGAGCTGTTAATGAATAATTAATAATTTATCAACCGCTTCTAATTATCAAAGAAAACTCCTTCCGTGGGTCACTCTGCGCTCATATCCAGCAATAACTAATACAATTAATCGAAAGCTAGCAGCCAATATTTCGAGAGCGGAAAGGACTCCTCTCCAGGGCCAAATTTATTCATCTATAATAATCAACAAAATACAAGGAGATGTATAAAACCCTAACAACCTCAACAGGGACAGAGGATATCAAGTGAACTCTATTTGGAAAACTGTCCTCCCGGTTTTTTAATTGACCAGCTGATCAATTCAGTAGCAAAGTGTTAAAACGGTACAAATCAATTTTGACTATTGACCAGTTTTCAATGAAATCTCGGAATCTAAGGGAGGTAGCAAAATGTTTTTAACACCTTTTTTGTAGAGCCGATTGAGAGCTACAACAAATGTATTTACGAAAATTTCGCTATCTCCCTTAGATTCGGAAATATTCCTCAGAAACTCAACTGGGAGATAAGTCGACTTAAATCGTTTTATCACTTCGCCACTGAATTAAAAATGATTGGCTGCCCCTCCCCCTCTTCTCACACCCCACCACCGCAGGGGAGGGTATACAAGCTCTATCTCCAGACCTCGGAGCTCAGAATCGGGGCTCATAGCCCTGAAGATGCAGACTACAATGTTCGCGAAACTTGGGCGTAACACTGAAACCAACCCCGGCATCCATCCGGAAGCCAGTGATATCAATAATCATGGCCGCAAAAGCCTCACAACAAAGAAAATGCAATATCACAATTACTACTTTTCGACTAATTGTGTAAGTTTTTGCTGGATATAACCGCAGAATGTTCCACGGAGGGAATTTTCTTAGCTGTAAATGAATGTCGAAGGCTGGAAGCGTAAATTTGGAGCTCCTATGAGGAGCAGTGGGAATATCTTTCAATTTGTTCGAATTTGTTGATTGAATGATTGGTTTGTTTTGTTTTCATCTAGCTGCAAACCTTCACTAGATACGTAAACGCTGTGAGAAGAATCATGTATCTCAAACATATCGATGACTGCTGAAATTTGAATCAAGAAATCGAAATGGTTTGTTGAACTCGTGAAATTTCTCAAATAATTTACTTGGTGAATCTTTTTTTTTATCGTTATTTTACATCGTTTCGACCCGGTTAGGGTATATTGCGATGATGATCAAGACTTTAAAGACTTTAAATGACCGGGTAGAGTGGTGCGATCGTTAGATAGCAGCCGGGCTTTGAACTCGGAACCTGTCGCATGACTGGGTGAATCTAATAGTTTCACATTTAAAGTAAATCGTATCTCACTAGATAATCTACATGAAGTTTAATAAATTAAATGCAGATCCTGAGGAGAGCACATTGACACTTTATTTATCTGGAAGATTTATTTTTCTAATAATAAGACTTGCAAATGTCGGTGATTTATCCTTAAATAAAGAATCTGCGGTTATGAAAGTGAGATTGATCAGCTGTTGTGTTATATGAATCCTAAACATTACGAAGGACTCGGAATATTTGAGATTACTCAACGCAAATGCAGATTTTTGTAAATTTTGTGATAGTTCACTTTTCAGACAGGCATTACAACAAGCCTGGTTCGAAGAATGGCTCAACTATTTTTTTGCCGTTTATTTCAACCAACGTCATAGGTAATATATTTTCACCCCGACGCCGAGGGGAAAAATTCCGTTCTAACCACGGGAGATAAGTTAAAGGACCCTTACCGACGTGCATGTGGGCACGACTCCTTTATTTTACCTTCTTATGTTAGAAATATACAATTCTAAATGCATAACTGTGACGTTTTACACATCACATCGTACTTATATGATACACCGTTATACACATACACTTAAATAAATGCATTTTTTGACCCGTACGAGGTGTACAACGTGTATCGAAGGCGATTGCTACCCTCCCAGGGGTCAAAGAACACTTTTCCTATGAGTGTTGAACCCTATTTTTCATCACAATGTGTGGGACGTGAGATTGGAATGATGAAATCTCAAGACCAAAAGTGATCTCAATAATAGCTACTGTGGGCCCGAATTTTATATTTTTGTTGATAAATTTGACCGCATTAATTTTATATTTCCTAAAAATTCATTACGCAAAATCCACACCCTATGTGTTTACATACGTACAGATTTTTTTAAAACAATTCATCCCGTTTTATAACGGCTTATATAATTTCTAAGTAAAATTAGAGAATGTTACAATCCGAGAAATAAGAAACTTACATTCAATTGATATTTACGTGCCGCTCCGTTGTGTTTAAAACTCTGCCGCACCAGAAAAATTACCGTGCTCGCTCACCAACACTGATAGACTGATCCATTCATTCCAAATGAGATTCGTTAACTGTTAACAAATGGTAGAGCTGAATATGACCAAATAAATATTTGTTTATAGTTAATGAATGGTTCACTTGAAAAGTGAAAATGGAGTCAAACAAGGCTTCTCAAATGTGCACTTGTTAACTATTAACGAATGAACATTTGTTAATAGTCAATAGACCATCGCCCGAGGGCCTTCAGCCAAGTATTTACATATGAATAGAATTTTATATTTTGTTTCTGTTGCTGTAGTATTTAGAGTCTAATGAATTGGAAGCTGCGTATATAGTATTAGGAGTCTAAAAGAGTAGATATGATACATTGATGCCGTACTGTTACATGTATTGGTTTAAACGGATGAATGAGGGTATAGGGTACAGTAATTTATTCAGGCGCTATTACTCCCCATGCGTCATTACCATATAGGTCTATTAATCCTTTCTATCAGTGTATACCGGATTCACATCTCTTTGGCAGGCGAAATATATTACGTAGAGTAGGGAAACTTCCTGATCTCTAACGATTTTTTCGAAAGCTAAGAGGAAATATCTGAAATAAAACTGTCGGGTAGCCTCAAGTACTGCGCTTTCATTGGTCGAAATCCGATTGGGAAAAATCATCAATGAGAAATCTCAATGGCCCTGCGCGAGACTCAAATCTGCGCCTGACGATCCGCAGTCCGGCTAAATGACTTCAACCACTTCGGCCAACGGCGTCGGTCCAAGAGTTGTATTTTGTATTTTCGCATTGCCCTGAGGAGCAATACAACTTGCACATTTAAGGTTCTATATGTCAATAATAAGTAGGTCTGGATTTGTTTCATTCTCCTTCTGAAAACGCCACATAGATTGAGTTTGACCTTTCCCTTAACCGAATTTTTGAAGCGATGAGCGAGTAGTTCTCCAATACATACGATGACAGCAAGTGAATTTCCGATTACAGCGAGCATGACTAGTTGTCTCAGCAGATGAATCTGTGATTGTTCATCCATCTCGTATGCATTATCATTTTGGTCATTTTGGGGGTGCATGTAGGGTGTTGCATAGAACTTATTCAAAATACCCGCTTCGCGAAAATTCTCAATGATTTTTTTCATATTAGTTTTACCAGGCAAATTCCAACGAAAGTGAAAAACTCCGGTATCGGACCAAAAACTTGGCTTAGCGACTTGCAATCTATATTGACCATCATTCGTGTGACTCTGAGACTTGTAATATTCAGCTTCGATTCTAGTCATGATACAGCAAACATTACGGTGCACCATTGCCATTTCTGGACAGAAACGTGTGCTAAAATAAGGTACAGTTTTCTTTTAATTTAATTAATTTCAAGTTTAATTTAGCCCCAGCTGCTCCCTCGAAAGTTTTATTGAACAATAAATATTGAATAATTGGCGTCAAATCTGAATCGTCAATTCGTTCGAATGTTTCGTATTTATTTTCTACCAAGGGATCAATACCAAGAGTTGTGAATGAAGCGTAAATATCACTCGAATACATGAACGCCAGTATGACAACGACGATAAATAGGATCCTTTCGAAGGTTTTCAAAGGCTGGCGAGTTATTGTAATAGAAAATATCAACCCAAATATAACGGAGAACTTCCACATTTTCTCATTAAATTTCAGGAAAATCGTTGCGAACCAAATTAGAATAATGATGGCCAATGTTAAAACGCCACTCAGAATAGCGTTATTCATTAACTTTTTGTTAAACTTAAAGTCACTTGGCATAAGCAAAGTCAGTTCATTTGTCATGATTAGCGGCGATCTCAGGGATTCATCCAATGTTTCATCTGTTGTAAGAACCATTGCGTTAGCAAAAATGTCTGTTGCACTTTTTTTCAACAAATATAAGACGGTATTTATTGAATTCACATAGTTGTTTGGTCTTGACTCCCATTCATATTTATCCTCTATGAAAATGGCATAGGCAATGGTAAAGTTCAATGCTTGAGCAATGTTTTCTATCACGTGAACATTCGGTCCCGTCATCGCGTTGTTGTTTCTCTTCCGTATTCCCATTTTTAAATCAGGTGCTTTCCAGTATGTAAATGGTGGTTGATCGGAAAAAGTTACCCTGATTTGATGTCCATGCATATTTTTCGCGAAATTACGATATAACTCGATCCCCGGGTGAAATTCATCGTGGTAGAATTTTTTTATGAAAGGATTGAACTGATGCATTATCACTTGGATTGAGCTATCTTCGTCAATTCGGCTGTTCACTCCGTAACATCTCAAGTCTCCGCAACCAAGATAATTCGGATTATTCGCAGGCACTTTGGTGGGTCTTTGAGAATCTATTACCTGACGATTCTCGGCAATCACCATGTTCAACATCGATTGTCTCCAGGCATGTTGCAAGATATTTTCTACGCCTCTATCCAAATTTGATGATGTTCTCAAAATAATGAGAATGTAGTTAACGGAAAAATCTGCTACTCGATTCATCGCATGCATCACTTTAAATATTTGCACATTGTCTCCAGAATAGTCAGCATAGAATATGAACAGCAGAGAAGTCGATGATTTCGATACAACACCAAAATCGAGTTTTTTCAAGTGAAGAATATCGTCGTCTACGTTAACTGTTACACATGGCATGTTCCCCATGATTTTTCCAAATAATTCCTTTTTCAGAACATCAGAATCATCTGTGTCAAGATCATGTACGATAACAGCTGTATGTATATCACCGGAGCGAAGTAAACGTGTAGACACGCTCTCAAACCAATCGACTTCTGGACGACTTAAAGTTTTATCTAATAGAATTGTGATGCAGAAGATCAAGAGTAAAATCTTTGCGATGGGCATGATTGATGAACGTGTTGAGGTAAAATGTTATTTAAGAAGACGGGTACTACTGACGTAAATATGTTCCGAGGTCAACAAATTTAAATCGATGTGAAATTCTTTCCAACATTTCACTAGGCGGGTGTTAATCAAGGAGCATTACCGTTCATAACTAATGGTAACTTTGGAGCGGGAAAGATATTCAAGACCGATGTTACTGTGCGTCTAGAATGTTCCAATTCTTATGATAATTGTGAGCTCGTTTATAAGACGCGATGAAAGAAGCTGTCGAATTGCTGAGTTCCACGAATTCCTTTTTCAGTCTATCAGAATCATCTGTGTCAAGATCATGTACGATAACAGCTGTATGTATATCACCGGAGCGAAGTAAACGTGTAGACACGCTCTCAAACCAATCGACTTCTGGACGACTTAAAGTTTTATCTAATAGAATTGTGATGCAGAAGATCAAGAGTAAAATCTTTGCGATGGGCATGATTGATGAACGTGTTGAGGTAAAATGTTATTTAAGAAGACGGGTACTACTGACGTAAATATGTTCCGAGGTCAACAAATTTAAATCGATGTGAAATTCTTTCCAACATTTCACTAGGCGGGTGTTAATCAAGGAGCATTACCGTTCATAACTAATGGTAACTTTGGAGCGGGAAAGATATTCAAGACCGATGTTACTGTGCGTCTAGAATGTTCCAATTCTTATGATAATTGTGAGCTCGTTTATAAGACGCGATGAAAGAAGCTGTCGAATTGCTGAGTTCCACGAATTCCTTTTTCAGTCTATCAGAATCATCTGTGTCAAGATCATGTACGATAACAGCTGTATGTATATCACCGGAGGGAAGTAAACGTGTAGTCACGCTCTCAAACCAATCGACTTCTGGACGACTTAGAGTTTCACCTAATAGAATTGTGATGCAGAAGATCAAGAGTAAAACTTTGCGATGGACATGATTGATGAACGTTTTGAGGTAAAATGTTATCCAAGAAGGCGGGTACTACTGACGTAAATATGTTCCGACGTCTACAAATTTAAATCGATGTGAGATTCTTTCCAACATTTCACTAGGCGGGTGTTAATCAAGGAGCGTTACTGTTCGTAACTAATGGTTACTATGGAGCGGGACAAATATTCAAAAACAATGTTACTATGCATCGATAGCGCTGCAGTTCTTATGATAAATTAGAGTCCATTGGCTCTCTGTCAAATATTTGGAGATGGTCAATGATTTTCACGACGATCGTGGAGGAAGGAAGTGCAAACTGGAGCTTGTTTATAAGAGGCGATGATAGAAGCTATAGAATTGCTGAGTTTCACGAATACTGCGATGATTGTCTTTCATAAACGTTCGTAATAATCGCATGAGTTTACTCATTCCAATGTTAATTTTCACTGATAATGTTCTATAATTCACTTATAATGTTTCGTTTATTTCACTGTATGAATAACCTGTTGATTTCACTACGTAGAATGATGACTAACTTTTGAAAATTTACGTTAGGTTGAATTACTGCAATTGAATTGCAAGGTAAAGTACTTGATGAATAAAATGTGAAGGACGCCGAGGGATTGTTACCCCGAAGAGTGTGGAAAGGCTTTTAAATGTTTATTGATAAACAAACGATGGTTGGTGAGGAATTTGTCCACGAAGGGTGATGAATAACTTGTATCCAAACGAGGGGTGATAACAGATCCCTCGTGTAGGAGGGCCAATAATATATTGTGGATGCTTTCGATTAGTGACACATTGTCCCGATGAATCAGTGAATTTAGGCAGGAATTTAAACACTTCCTATATTGTCATAACTAGCACAGGGCCGGTGACTTCGGATATTTTCGAGTGTGGGGTAAAGGTCAAGTTGGGAGTAGAGAAGGGACAGTTACGGTTGTCATGGGTCCGGCGTTTTTGATTAAATGATTTTGATTTGGAATTATTCGCTCTCATTGAACATGTCCTAAAATACAAAAAAACATTTAAAACACAGTTTCTGACCGCAAATTTTTTGAGTTTTCAGAAGATGTTGGTCATTTTTCTTCCTCACCTCGACATTTTGATAAAAATCGAAACATAAAACTCTAAAAGTTGATTTAAAACTGTTTCCCGCTTTTTACCCTGAGTTTAATAAATTTTTCGGAAAAATCAGAAAATTTTCGACGGAAATGATATTTCAAAATTGTTTGCCCGTATACCGAGTATTCGAAAAGAAAATGAAAAACAAAAATAATTGGAAAATTAATTTTTCATGGTTTGAGAATGTATTCACATTTTTTATTCATTACAGTTATTTTTATTGATCTTCTTGCTTCATTTCTTATTCATGTTATAATATTCAAAGACCAAGAGAAATTTATTTTTGGAATATTCAATTTTACTTTTGACTTTTGTTTTCCATTTCTTATTTATTTCTTTCCATTATTCATTAAATATACCAACTTTTCGTCGCTTATTCATCAGTCGAACACTGCTACTGAGATTATTCATTAAAATAAAAAATACGTGCCGAATATTGACAAAATCTTCGCCCATCAAAAGTTCTCAATAATTTTCCATTCTACTGAATAGAAAATTATTATTCTCATCAGTACTCCCAAGAATATAAAAAGTTGACACAAAAAAATTTAATAATAAAAAATTTGTTTGCTTCAACTGCATCAAACAGTCGTTTTTTTGACTGTTTCACTTTGCCCCATGGTTCATTTTGCCCCACTGTTTCATTTTACTCCACTCTCCCCTATGCAAAATCTCAATTTTGGAGGCCAAAAAACCGCTTCCATTCAACGCATAGTACACGGGCAGAAATATGCCATAAAAATTACGTATCTTTTCCGTAATTCCGGAGTGAAATATGGTTGTAGGAAATTTTACGGAACTGTCACGGAATTTTTCTAGAGCGTTCCGTAATTTTTACCAGGGATAGCCAAATTTGTAATATTTTATTACCGTTAAATATTGCAGCCATCAATTAGTTAACATTACTCTTAAATTTTTTGAGTACTTAAATATCATCAATTCAAATATTCAAATTTTCAACTACTTTATCAATCAATAATTGAGCTAGGAAGATTGACGATTATTTATGTAATCGAAAATCCCCTTTAAGAAATTTGAATTATTCATTTAGTAGTAAATTTACAGGTTCATATTAACAAATTTTAAATGCATCATTATTCGAAAAAAATCAGATTATTAACATTATATTATTTGAAAAATTATCAACATATTTTAAACCTTCATTGATGTAAGGGTCAAATTCTTGTAATATTACAGAAATTTAATATTGATGGGAATCCCTGATTTTTACCTGAATCTCCTATAAAAAATTACGCTACCGTCACTTAAATTTTCTGAGTCGATTCCGTAATCGGTGAGCGAACTGTGAGTTCCATAATTTTTACTGAACATTTCTCTCCGTGTATGATTATTTTCTCGCAAACTGTTGTTTCCGCAGAATAGGGAACTTTCGAAAGAATTGATCATAGACTCCATGTCATCACAAAACGTGATGAGTATTCATGTTCTGCTCAATGGACGGAGCCATTAGTTACATATACTAGCGGTACTCAAAGCACAGTTATCCAAATTATCGTCACATTATTGAATTTACCAGGCGAAGAGTCGCTAATTGCCGTGATTGTTGAGCAAACTATTCCCGTTATCTGGATCGTCGAGACAAGTTTGAAGAAAATGTATCATTTGACGGTTGAGAGACCGTAAAGATGTTGGGGTGGATTTTTAGTTTTGTTGTCATCGTCACGACGATTGTTACCGGTGAGACCTCGACCTGGACAACATCCCTGGGGGATGATAACCCGTCAGAAGTTGAAGAACATAGCGATCGCCAGGCAAGATGTAAGTTCTGGCGGATGCATCCCTCGGGGATAATCCGACTATTTGTTTCGTCTTCTAACGCTGTTAATCCTTGAATTCTAGTTTTCCCACTGTTCAGTGTCGTACGTTTTGCAAACTCCGAGTGCATTGGCTCGAATTCGTTTAATGGAACGTGTTTCACGAAGAGAGAGTGCTCAAAGTATGGCGGGAATCCTTCGGGATCATGTGCGACTAATTTGGGAGTTTGTTGCACTTGTATGTACAGTTGGAAGTTTCGAGACCGATGGAAGAATGATTTGCGTGATTAATTATTAATTCTTTCAGTTCGAAAGACATGTGGAGCCACTACAAATATCAATAACACGTATTTCGTGAATGAAGGATATTATTCTGCTCATACTGGAGCCGAACGGTGTATGATTACGGTGTATCCTTGCACCACAAATATATGTCAGGTACGAAATTTTAACCCTAGTCCGGTCACCAGACGCGACCCTGCGAACTTGGTCACCTCCGCGGGGATTCCCCGCCGTGTTATTTAGGCTTCAGCGTTGCCGAATTCACTCTGCAATGCTCGGGCGCGATTAGCGAGTTCCCGGCAACGCCGCGTCATCGGCAATTTCATTTAACATGGGAAAAAATAATTAATCCCGGCTGGGCGGTGCGGGATTTTTTCTCTCTAAATTCTAATTCCCTTTGAATTGATTTAATGCCTAAAGGTAGTTAGGTGGTGTTGTCTGGCGAATTTAGAGAGGATTTCCGTAGTTCCCGGTAGCTTAGTTGGGAGTGCCCGGCGCGTAACTGGGAGACCCGGGTTCGAATCCCGCCTGGGTGGTGCGGGATTTTTTCTCTCTAAATTCTACTTCTCTTTGAAATTTTTTTTTCTCCGAAATAATTTGTCCGACATAATTTGTTTTCTTTAGGAATTTTGGGAAATATGTCGTTCGAAAAACTCCTATAATTGAATTGTTTGTAAGCGCTCTTTGCCATCGTCGGACACTTCAACTGACAAAATCAATTTTTTTTATTCCTTCGGTTAGCTAGTCAATTGTAATTAAAGAAAAACGGCGCGGCGGGGTTTCCCTCATGGGTGACTAATCACGAAAAAAAATAATAAAAAAACCTAGTAAATTAGCTAGACAATTCGGTAGGATATCTATTGAACTTTCTATTAGTTCATGGCTAATTCTATTGAAATGTTCAATCGAAAATATTCTATCAAAAAAGTCAACAGAATTAGATTTTTCTATATAACTCATTCTATTGAGATATTTTATTTTTATTTTTTGGGATATTTTCTATAGAATTTCCTCAGCTCAAATTTTCTATGTTTTTTTGTTTGATGTTCTTGATGAAAAGAAAAAAAAATGAAAAAAGAACTAAGATTACACTTGTGTATTCTCTTTTTTCCAGTTAAGGATTGATTTCCTGGATTTCAATTTGGCTCAACCGAACGCCTCTGGCATTTGCGACTTGGATTTCCTATTAGTGACTGGATCTGCTAGAAGAGTCCCACGTATTTGTGGAGAGAATGTCGGTCAACATAGTGAGTTTTTTAGAAATTAAATCAAAGTAACGGGAAAGTGGGGTGAAATGAACTGTTTGTAAGCGCTCTTTGCCATCGTTAAAACAAGACTAAGTCCGTTAAAATTGTGTCATTTGGCGAGTGCATATCAAAGATTTCGATAAATTCATTTTACCCCACCTTCTACCTGCACGTTGCCTTTCATGGATAGGGTATTGCCAAGCCAAAGCAAAATTTGAGGAGCTAATCAGGGGCTGCACTGAGAGAAAAAATTAGCTGTGCCGAAAAACTATATGTTCCACGTGAGAATGTTTGAGGGAGAGGAACATATTTACTTGAGGGAAATTAAGCAACTTGATAGAAAGAAATTTAATATCGATTCACGTGCCTAAAACGTCCCTTCTCCACACATTGTGCACTGATAGAAAGGTTTAGTCGAACTAAACGAGGATTTTTAACTATTACCTCGATTCGTTACACGGAGAGAAATATTCAATAAAAATTACCAGAAAAAAGACGTAAAAATTACGTTTCGAAACGTAATCTGGGAGCAAAGTAAAATTCAATAAAAAGTGTCAATCATCATGTAAATTCTACGATCTATTCCGTAAAAATTACTCATCCGTCCGACGCCTCACGGCTAGCCATGAGTCACCGTGAGGAGGAGATTTTAACAACACGTTCCGTAATTTTTCCGGATCTTTTCGTAAAAATTCTTAAACATCCAAGAATTTTCATGTTTTGAGGCATAATAAGTCTTGAAGTTTCTGTTAGATTTTACAACTTTCAGAAAAATTACGTGACTTTTTCGTATTTTTTCGGTGACAGACCCGAAAATTTACTGAACGTTTCAGATTTATTCTCTTATTTTCCTATAGAAATTCACTGAAAACGATTCTCGCTTGCGGATTACGTGAAATGTTCCGTAATTTTTCTTGAATATTTCTCTCCGTGTAATTATTAACGAATCGCGGTAACAGTTAAAAAGCCTCGTTTGGTGCAACTGAATCGTTCCACTTTTTCTATCAGTGTGATGAAATATTATATTTCACGTCGAGTGCCACTGGCGGTTTCGACGAGCTGAAGACGAGGCTTGCCAATCACACGAATCGAAAACTCCTGTGGCACAAAGCGCGAATGATATTTTTCCGTAGTAACTTTCATTTTTGCCAGTTTGGGGAAGGGTACCAATCTCCGGACTGGGAAAAGTGAAGGTCAGTACGGAAATCGTATTTTTCCGGGCTGCTGCGATGGGGTTTTTTACTCGTGTTGCGTAAAAGAGAATAATCCCGGATCCCCTCCTACCTCATCCAAATCCTATCCAACTAATTTCCTATGACGTCACAAAGATGTGGAACGCTATATAAATTCTTTTCTTTAATGAAAAATGGTCAACCACACGAGTAAAAAAATCCCATCGCAGCAGCCCGGGACAAGATTTTTCTGTAGTGATTTTCAAGTTTTCGAGTTTGGGAAGTATGCAATACCAATTCTCAGACGAGAAATCGTGAGAAGCAGTACAGAAAAATATCATTTGATACTCATGGGAAAAGTGTCTCACTTATAGTCACTCGCCTTCGGCTCGTGCTATGAACCTCCCACGAGCCAAAAAGCACTTATTCCGCACTCGTATCGAAATATACTAGTTTGTCGTGATCATCGAAATATTCCTAGAAGAATTCGAACTGTTGGCGAGAAAAATATATAATTTATTGTACAACAATCATTTGATCTGAGAGAACTCTATAGGTTTATACCATAGGAAGAATGTATTGACGAGGAAAGAATACTTCTTTTCCTCAAAAAAAATTGTCCCCTCGAATTTATTTAGTTTTGCACAGTTTTCGGCAAGAAAATTGTAGTTTTCTCTTGAAATTACTATTTGTTCCATGGAAATGTTGAGTGTTTACTGGACAAAGATGTACAGTACTCAATAACATTCACTTGATAAAACCGAAGATTCATATAATTCTCTGTAGAACGAATGTATTTAGCCAAAAGATATATAAACGTCTCACGTGAACAATTACTACTACGAAAATTATCATATTTTGGTGGAATTTTTTTTTTGTCCACAAGGAAATTGCTTCAACACGACAAAAGATTTCTTCAGGGAGACATATAATTTGTCGGCAGAACAATTTTTTCTCGCAGTGTGTGTAGTAAAACCGTGAGCTGATTCAAAAATCAAAATTACGTCAATTGGTTTATGTTTAGTGTATGTGGATTTCAATGGTAATAATCCTATCACGATCTCTGTGATCACCAATGCCGCCTATCGATTTGCTCGTAAATGGAATCTGAGAGTCCAGCAGATAGCGTGTGACTCCCCTTGGCGAGGTAAAACATTTTAAAGTTTCCAACATTATAACAAATTAGGGGGCTGCTCCTTGCTCACTCCGCTCGCCAACCCACATATGACCTCCACGTTCCTTCTGACCTTCTGACCCTTATTTTGACCCTTGCGACCCTTCATTTTGGAGTCTTAATTTCGAGTACCAAATTTTCATTGCCAGAAGTCGATTTAGATTTTTATAATACAGCGAGATATTCTTATTGTTATTTTTAAAGGATTTGACGACTGTAGAATTTGATCCCCATATGACCCTCATATAACCCCTATATGAACTTATAGATATATGAACATATTAGAGAGATAGGGATAATAATTAATTCTCAATCGCATTAGACAAATATGAATATGGTTATGAAATCGTTCACATAAAATGTAAAAAACTATTCATTTCATCTTTTATTTTATTTTTTTTCCGTTTAGTCAATTATTTATTTCATTTTTTATTTGCGTTAATCTATACTGATATTCGTATTCGAGAAAATTGTTTACTGGTCTACTATCTCCATATCACTTATCAATAGATTCGATGTGTCTAGTTTATTGTCTAGATTTAATTTGAGAAGTAAAAGTTGAGGGTCCACTATCTCCCATATATCCACGGTAGAAATTACCTTGAATCCACGGCAAAACGTCCCGTATATCCACGGTCAAAGTTACCGTGGAGCGTGTGAATAGACACTGCCTACACTTTTATTGTGGTAAAATGAGTTAAAATTTGATTAGTTAGTTGATCGAGTGAAAATTTAAATGAATTGAAAAATGGATCCACATGACAATAATTAATTATTAATAATAACTAATGAATGTTTATTTTTATTGGTCATTATAATATCTTAATTGCTATGATAATTATTATTATATTTTCATTTTTTCATCAATAAAATAACAAGAAAAATTCAGTATTTTTATTTTATCGAAGGCGAATACAGTCGCATTCTCCGAATTCACTTCCCCAACAGCTCCTTAAGTGTGACTCTAACGGGAGTCTACTGTAATAAAGAATTCTTTAGATGATTTTTCCGGCAATTTCAGCTCCAAGTGGCTGCCTGCAGTATTATAAAACCATTTCTGGGACTGTGATGAGTTTCAATTATGGGACTATACCAAATCCTCGAGGTAAATAATCGAGACCATTTTCCATCAATCGATTCTCCAAATTGTCTCAAACCGATGAATTATATCTTCGTATTTCAGTCCCAACGACTACATCTATTGGAACCAGACAAATGCAGAATTTAAATTACAAAATCTGCGTTCGTCCGGCGTTGGGGGATTGTACAATTGAGTGGTCTCAACCAGACCCAACATCATTTACAGTTTCCGGAGACTCTGGACTTATTACTGGAGCCGCTGACGAAGACTTGTCTGAGTCTGGCACCGAGTGTACCCACAATTACGTGATAGTTCCAAATCCCTCGAATACAACTGGAGGTCGTTACGACGCAGATCGATTCTGTGGAAATGGATTTCAGAGGAAAACCAGCGCTTGTTTCATTCTATACGTCGTAACAAATCCAGCTCCGGGCGAAGTCGTGGACGTGGAAAATCGCGGATTTACTTTGAATTATCGACAATTGGCATGCGAAGTCTAAGAGGATTTGAGAGAGACCGCTGGTGCCGGCTCACTAATAATAAGTTTTTCAATTAAATAAAAAGATGTTGAATGACACAAGATATTTTATTCATATTCAATTCAATACGTTAAATATTATTCCCCTCCCTCCTCCCGCAATGCACTCTCAAGTGCATCTCGTCATCACGAAGCGACTGAGAAGAATGACCACTCTATAGCAATAGTGATGCCGCGAGAGACTACGAGACAATACTTTGGAGAGATGGTCTCGGTCTCAATAAACATGGAAATCTTTGGTCTCGTCTCAGTCTCGCAATACGCAGTACACTGATAGACTGATTCATTCATTCCAAACGAGATTCCTTAACTATTAACAAATGGTAGAGTTGAATATGACTAAATGAATATTCGTTGATAGTTACGGAATGGTTCACTTGAAAAAATTCACTAATATGGACCCAAGCAAAAACGCATGATTCTGTTTAAAACTGGATAATTCCAAAACTGTGACAGATAATCCAATTCCGCCAACGCCATTCGAAAGCTGGATAGTGTAGCTTCAATTTTTAATGCGTTTTATAATTTTTCATGCATCAGAATTGATCGAATCTCTTGTATATAATATAATATATAAATCCCAGGCTGAAGGCCCTCGGGCGATGGCCAGTCACAAGCTTGTGACAAATTACGTTAAAAATAAAAAATAATTACCTGACAGTTCCGTAAAACTTAGCATTGTGGATTACGTAAATTGTTCCGTAATTTTTATTGAATATTTCCCTCCATGCAGGGCGGTCTAACTAATGCCCGTCTATTGAAAACGTAAAATAACTCAAATAGTAGAATTATAGAATTATAATTAGTGATTTCTGCTCAGTGTACGTGAATTTCGTTGGTAGAAATCCCATTAGCATCACAGTGATCACCAATGCTGCCTACAGATTCGCTCGTAGGTGGAATCTAAGACTCCAGCAGATAGCGTATGACTCGCCGTGGAAAGGTAAATAATCGCAAAATTTACGACATCGCTAAAAATAATACATCATCCGTCAGATAATTTGTTCCCCCAATTTTAGCTCCGAGCGGTTGCTTGCAGTATTACGAAGCTATTTCTGGCACTGTGATGAGTTTAGATTATGGAACTATGCCCAATCCTCGAGGTAAATACTAAGCAAACAATTTCCATCAATCGACTCTTGATATTTTTCCAAACTGATGCAACATCTTTTCATATTTCAACAGCAGGGAAATCATCTGTTGGAACACGCCAGTTACAAAATTTGAATTACAAAATCTGCATTCGTCCCGTCCTAGGATACTACATCGAGTGGTCCCCATCACACAGAACATCATTTACAGTTTCCGGAGATTCTGGAGTTATTGATAGAGCCGCTCGTGAGGACTACTCACAGTCTGGTCTTAACTGCACCCACAATTACATAATAGTTCCAAATCCCTCCGATAAATTTGGAGCTCGTTACGACACAGACAGATTCTGAGGGAATGGATTCCAATCAAAAAGAAGCGCTTTTTCCACTCTCTACATCGTTCCAAATCCAGTTCCAGGTGGATCGACGGATATGGAGAATTGTGGATTTATGTTAAACTACCGAAAATTGCCATATGAAATCCAATACTGATTTTCAAGTTTTAATTTTAATCTTCGGCTCCAGTTATACATGGACTTTTGGTCTTTTACACGGAGGATAGCCCAAAATGATGGACATTTTAGGGGATGAAAGAGGATGAAGATCTGAGTTGAAAGTTCCTGTGTGCATTTTGTCTCGGGGTATTCGAAAACGAGTTATTAATTCAATAGCAAAGCGGTAAAACGGCTTAAAGTAGCTCTACCCTTACGGTAAATTCAAAGATTATTGAAAACTGCAAAAAAATTGCAGAAAACTCGATTAGATTTGGAATTCTAATTTTTTTCTCAATTTAATTATCGTCTTGGTTTTTCAAAGAAGAAATATATAAAAATCAGGATTTAACCCAGTGTCTTATGTGAAAATCAACATTTCCATTGTAATCAAAGATTAAAATCTGAATTTTTTTTCATTAGATGTGAAAAAATCAAGAATTTTCTTGACACCTCATAAAAAATTAACTAAGGTTTTGCAAACAAGTTTGATTATTTATTTATGAGGGAAATGTTTGAAAGAATATCAATATTTTGCGAAATTTAATTCAGATAATACTGACTGGGTATGAATTTTTTCAAATTTTTTCCATGCAATTTAGTTGAAAAATTTAAAAACTGAAAATATCCGAAAGTACAGCGCAGCCCGGCCGAAGGGTAGAGCTGCTTTAAGTTGATTTAGTCCTTAGCTGAGTTTCCGAGGAATATCTCCGAATCTAAAGGAGATAATGAAATTTTCGTAATAAGATTTTTTTGTAGAGCGAATTGAGGACTGACAAGATCGTCGAATATTCCATATAATGTTTCCGCGATGTTTTAGACGGTACTCGCCGTCTTTTTGTTCAAATATTTCCATAAATAATGGGAGAAAAGAAAGAAGTTCATCATGTCAACTATTCGTCAGAAAATGGTGTAGAAGATGCATCACTTCACAATTTCAGTAGCGAAACGGTAAACCGGGTTAAGTCAATTTTGACTATTGGCCAGTTTTCGACAAATATCTCGGAATTTTAAAGAGATGGCAAAATTATTGTCATGACCTTTTTTGTAGAGTCAATTAAGAGCTATAAAAAAGGTCATGACAAAAATTTTACTATCTCTCTTAGATTCCGAGATATTCATCAAAAACTGACCACAAGTCAAAATTGACTTGACCCGGTTTACCGCTTCGCTACTGATTTGGCAAATTGCAAAATTGACCAAGATAACTTGAATTTCATACCGCGTGGGATGGCAATTGGAGCTATTTTTCCTCATTTCCATGAAATTATTTCGTTAACCGTTGAAGTTAGGGGAAAATGTTATAAGACAATAATTATGTATTTTTTACTAAGGAACATTTGTTATTTCAACTATTTTCGTTCATTCCCAGCCGCTTGCATTGTAACCTGAGCTGAATGCGCGAAGGGTCACGCGCACGTCTCCGCTCTCCGCGACCTGTTTTCAGAGGTGATGACTCGATAACTACAAAAAATAAAACCAAAAATAATAGGACGAAATATGGATTTTTGGACGAGGAACATTTTTTTTCAACTTTTTTGCCTAACTCAAACCGTTTCCGCGAAATGGCGTTATAAACAACTAAATTGTTATAAATAAACAAAACTAACCACATCTCGCAGAAACAGTCAACACATTCGTGTTCAGGGACTCCAAAAACATGAAGTCCAACGATAAACTTCAATAGACCTAAAAGTGTCCATAAAATATCCAATGAAAACTCGTAGCAAATCATAATTGTTGGACTCGTAACAGTGTCTCAATGAAATAAAATGACGTAGAATGAAACAAGACATTTTATTTATATCTAATACATTGTACACTATCGTTACCCCTCCAATAATGCACTTCCACTATGGTTCTTCACTCTCTCTGACATTGCTGAGTACCATGTACTCAGATTGGTATGTTGCAGAGCGTCCTTGAAGGCGTCGCACCCCTCGATGCTCCTCAGAATGCCGTAGACCGCGAGGTCCGAGAGGTCTGGGTTGTTTCCTCCCATGAATTGTCCGCCTCGTGCACTGATGGCATTCAACCAGGTGTTGATCTCGTCGTAGAGGGACTCTCGCACGTCGGTTTTTAGATTATGTCTCTTTGTGAGACGTTTCCCGATTATCCACATGGCGAGAGCACCCACGTTTACCATTAGGGCTCTCTCCCATGCAGGGAAATATTCGTCCCATCGTCCAATCTGTGAATAATTTGGTTTTTCTTTAAGTGGATGTGAAAATCATTGCATCCCTGGGAGAAAGCGAGTGTTCCATATTCAAGCACGGAATGGAAAATTTGTTGAGCTGAGAAATGTGACACTTGAATGGAGATTTTCGATTTTTACGAATGAATGCAGTAGAGGCTTCGTATAAGATACCTTAGGGACAGTAGGAGAGTGGAATTCCGGGAACCCCTATGCCCCCACTACGCGCACCCCTAGAGAGGAGAAAAATAGGGATCAGCGAGTTTCAAATAAGATACCACGCTCGTTGCGCCCGAATTCAATGAAATTTCCATTTTTCATGAAAAAATATCGATAACTAATCAGTTTATATGTGTTTAATGTTTTGAATTTGTATCACCCGCGTTCGCTTTCCTCTCTGAACCCCCGCGTGATATAATGGCAGCTGATGTTGGGGGATTGTTGGTGAACTCGAGAATAATCACAGGCGAAAAATTACGATTTTTTTCGATGGGAACAGTGAAAAAAAAATCGATGCATATTTTCATTACTTGAAAAAAGTGGTGTGACCCCTTAAGGGCATAGGACCCTCATGATCACTTCGTTTGTCCCTCCCGTTTGACCCTTAACACCGTTTGATCCTCATAACTACTCTCTTCCCGTTGAAAAATGACCGGGGCCATAGGTATCGTATAAGAATCCCATGGAACAAAAATATTCGGGAGGCGATAAAAGTGCCGAGAGTGGGGGTTGGTCTCGAGCGCTCGCAGCGCGAGGTATCTTATAGAGAGGTATCTTATACGACGCCTCTATTGTAGAATAAAAACGGGTTTGAAAATGATTTAATGTTCAAGACTCATCGGAGTCTTCCTTCAACGAAATTCTTGAAGCAACAGGTTTTTTGTTGCTATTAAGTTGGGACTTGTTCCACGCAATAGTTTGTTTCTGTTTGCGCCTCCTCAGTATCAGAATTGGAACTTTTTTATTGTTGAATATAAGAATAGAATGAATATTACATCTGTATTTTCTTGCCATGAATCATGAAGAATGGACAGCTTATAACCGTTCAGGAACGGCGGCATTGTGACGTTATTTTTTAGAATGAAAAAATTTCGTGCAACAAACTAGTTAAATATTCTCGATTCCGGAATGTTTTTGACATGGATACGTCTATGGTTTCAATATGGGGGGTTATTTTGGGAAAAGATCCTTATGTGCAGCGCCATCCATCGGAATTCTAGAAAATTCTAAACATTTCGAGGTAATTCGAGAAGTTTCTTGAAATTTCGCAAAAATTCAAAGAGTTTCTAGAAATTTCGAGGGAATTCCGGGAGTTTCTAGAAAATTCAAGGGAATTCAAGGAGATTCTAGAAAATTCGAGAACATTCAAGGAGTTTTTAGAAACTTCGAGGGAATGCAAGGAGTTTCTAGAAAATTCGAGAAAGAAGGAAAGACCATGGACGTATCCACGTACAATTACAGCTGTATTGTAGATACAGCCGCCTGTAATTTTTGAGTTAGATTCTAACACAACACCGACTTGAATGAAGAACCCAGAACTGGATGATTTGGGCACCTCTTTCTTGGGTCGAGCATTTCGTTTGTTTTGTGAAGGCGTGGGCATACAAAAAATACTCAAAGTAAAAACGAGTTTAATTACCTCAGAGAACCAATTGAATGTCTGGTAGGCCTCTTGAATAGTTCTGTACACATTTGGAGATAATGTGTGGACAAAAACGTCATCTGCCCATTGTCTCCATTTCCTCTCCTCCCTAGAAAATGTAATGATTCGGAATGTGTGAAGAAATTTTTTTTTTCAATGGAACATTGGGCTTGAAGAATACTTACACAATATCGTCGAGTGTCCTGTCTTTGGGAACAGATCCCTGATACATCAAAAAATACTTATTGACTATTTCCTCTCTGTAACCTTTCTCATCATTGACAGCAATATTGGGAAAATACGTCGCAAGTTCATTGATCTTGTGACTCTTGTCGTTGAGGTAGGAGGCTAATAACGATACGATCATCGAGCTGTCATTGAGCGGCTGATATCCGCCATCAACTTTCGCAAGTAATATCGGAACTTTTCGGTACTTCGACCACTTTATCTCCTTTCGGAGCACTGGGTCCACCTCCACAACATCATAGGAGATTCCGTAATAGTCCAGGAAGGTTCGAACCTATACGGAACAACGAATCGATTGGAAATAATTCGATGAGGGAGTTGCAGAGTACAATGAGGCAATTTCAAACTGAGTCTTTGATAACTCATGTATGAAATAATTTCATCAGACTTCGGTCAGATGACTACGATCGTCAATTTTAAATTAAGTTAAATTCTGCAATAGTTAACTGGTCAATATTACCCAACAATTTTTTAATTATTAAATTAATCATCAATTAAATATAGAAATTCTGAATTAATTTACCAATTAATAATTGAGTTTGGAAGACGATCATTTGATTAAGCGAAAAATCCTTTTATGGAATTTAGAATTATTTACTCAATAGTCAATTGACAATTTAAATTATAATAATAATTATTATTATTTTTATTATTATTTAAGATGCAACTGCTCATAATATTACGAAAATAATGATTGATGGCGATCCATGAATTTCATAGAAAATTCTTGCCAATTTACTAGACAATTCTGTTAGATTTCTATGGAACTTTCTATTAGTTTTTCATTGGAATGTTCAATAGAAAATATCTCAATAGAATAAGTTGTATAGAAAAATCGAATTCTATTTACTTCTTCTGTAGAATATTTTTTATTGAACATTGCAACAGATGCGGCCAAAAACAAATAGAAAGTTCAATAGAAATCCAATAGAATTCGCTTGGTCTTTCTGTTAAATTTTGTCATACGTAATGTCCTGAAATCTAACGAAAATAGGAAAATTTTCACGAAAATACAACCCAAAAATTTCATCGGAAAAAATCGATTGGATTTTTATTAAAAATTCCATCATTTCTTCGCCGATTCTATAGCAAATTTGACAGTTTTTCTGGGTGTCTTTTTTTGTTAAAATTGTTCAATAAAATCTTTTATGAAGAAAGTCAATAGACTTCGATGATTCTATGGTAATTTCTTGACATAAACTTTCTTAGCATTTTATCAATGTATTGTTTTTTCGACTCGCATTAAACACAAGAAGAAAAATTTACGCCGAGGAATTTTCATCGAAACTAACTCAACAAAATAACTTGTATAGAACATAAAGGTTCATTGATTTTTCCTAGCCAATATTTTCTATTAAACATTCCTATCCGAAACAAACGCGAAAAAACCTGCGGAATTTTTCGATGAAACGATCGGAAAACTCATATTCAATGGCAATCCCATTGAATTTTCCAGGGAATGCCTCGGGCTTTGAAGTTTTTTCATACGTGAACCTTCTTTAAAAATTTCGTTGCCTCTCTAGCATTTTTTTTTTCAAATGATCATTCGTCTTTTGAATTGATTTGACCGAGTGTTCGAGGAATTGCATTCTTCACGCGGTATTTATTCTCTTTTCTCTTGAGCATATGAAATCATGAAATTTCGTCCTGTTTGATGTTCTTAACATTATGATCATTTTGATCTTTCGATTTAAACTGGCGCAATTCTCTTTCTTGTCATAGACTCCAATGAGTATTGGCTCGAGTCCAAAAATTAATAAAGAAAGTAGGGGAGAGTGGGACAAAATGAAACAGTCGAAAAACGACTGTTGGACGTAATTAAAGCAAAAAACAAATTATCAACTATTTTTTTAATAACTTTTGTTTGTTAACAGATTTTTTATCATTGGGAGTACTGATGAGAATAATTAAATCATTGAGAAGTTTTGGCGGGAGACGATTCTGCGAATGGATTAATGGAAAACGAAATGAAACAGCAAAATCCAAAGTCCAGAGCATGGCCCAGGGGGAGACCCAGAGGGGGAAAAAGGAAAATGTTATGCTGAATTTCAATCGAATGAAAAAAGAAAAGTATAATCGTAATAAACGTGTAATTGATTTTCGTAGTAGGATCTAAAATGAAAGAATCACCTAAATGGGGATATGCTGGCTCCCATACCTTCACGAATGTTTTAATTAGCAGAGAAAAATTATTTGAAGTCAAAATAACAAAACAAAGAATAATTAAATGAAGAAATAATTGAATGCAGCCGAAACCCCTAATTTCTGGACGGCTGGGTCATATTTTTTTTATTTATTAAATGTCGATCAACAGAAAAAAAATTGATCACATGATTAGGGGAGGGTGGGGTAAAATGAACACTGGACTTTTTTAAAAATATTCATAACTCAAAAACAGACTTATCAATTGAGCCCAGTCTAAGCTCATCACAAAGAGGAATCATTGTTCTTTCAATTGAAAAATAAAATTATTCCATTTCATGAACAATTCAACACGTTATGAATCCATAAGTAAAAGATCCGTGAGCGTTACAAGGCTTTTTTCTTTGGTTTCTATGCTCAAGTTCTTTTTCCTTTTGTATGAACCATGTATATAGTATAATCTTTGGAAAGCTCATTAAATGAGTTCCAAAGTGATGTCTGTTTCATCCAATTCTGACCATTTTTCATTGAGTTATGAGAGTTTTAGGCGATAAGTGAATTTTCATGTTTCACTTGAAAAATTAACTTCGGATGGATTTTTCGATGCTTTCAAGTGGCTTAAACAAAGATATTTATACATCATTTTGAAGAACATGTACTGTTTTTCGAAATGGTGTATTAAAAATGCGATTTAATTGGATTTTCATCAATTTATTACAGTTTTTTTCCATTTTTTATGTTTTGTCACACCTAGAAAATGGCAGTTTTTGTAATTTATCAAGAGTTTATACTTAATCAGCGGGGATATATCATATATCAATTCGAAGGTTTCATCGGGATCTTNTTTTAAAAAAGTCAGAAGGGTCTATTTTACCTTACCCTCCCTATACACCAATAATATTATTGAAGGGTAAAATAATCAGTACAATTTCCATTTTATTATGTATGGAATTCAATGCAAGTTGAAATTGTCCGGAAACTGACCCCCGTCCAGAAACTGACCTGTTTACCCTAAACATTTCTCAAAAATCAGCAAAAACTGAACTCTAAGCGGAATTGATACACCTCACTTCCCCACTACTCTGCTAAATAGTCAATTACAGATCCTAAAATATTCATCTATTTACCTTGCAGCAGAAGGGACACGTCTGATACTGGAAAAGCGTGAGTTTCAGACCGGTGGAATCCACCGGAGAAAGTGCCTGAAAGCCAAACAAAACAATGACACAACCCGATAAACCATAAAATCCTAAACAAAATCACAAAGTCATAATTAATACCTGTCTCGAGGCCGGTATAGGAGGTTTATACTTGAGAATCTCCGTCGCAATCTCGTGCCCCTCCATCTCGAGATGTTTCCTGTCCCTTTCGATTTTCCGGAAGGCATAACCTGCACCGATAGCACTCCCAACAACAGCACTGATCAAACACGTCTTCAAAATTCCTCTCGTGGGTTTCGGTTCCTGCACAACAGTACGAAATGCCCTGACAATATTCTCCTCCCAAAATCCCGTATTTCTAAGCAATAAATGTCTCGAGACTCTCGAGAATCTCCACAACACAGCCATGTTTGAAAGCTAACGAGCCCCAGTTGATAAAAAAACTCCCGAAAAAAACGACAGATGGCTGTACCGCCCGCTTCTAGTTTGCACTCCAAACGCCCGATGGCATCGATTGAAATTTCTCCCGTTATTTTTTCTATTTTGTGAAAAAGGTGAAAATATACATGTAACAATAGACATCCGCGTTTGTGTTGGTCTAATGAATGATGCGCGTGAATTGAGAATCACAGGATCATTCACTCTGGTATATTCTCTTGTCATTCGAGTTGAGGTTAAAAGTAGTGAAAGCAGGACACAAAGGACTTATCATACCCGACAAATCAAATTACTCCCAACAAAATTATTTATCAACGTTTAAACAATGGAGTGTGATCCATCAATTCCGGATTTCACAGAGTGCCTGCGTCAAATTGTGTCAGGTACGCCCGATGAAGTGCGCCAAGGATGGATTAATCTACGACAACTGGACGAGGAAGTACGGGAAGACATTGACTTCAGGGATGTAATGGGAGTAATAAGAATGCCTATTCGAAGGACCATAACAAATGTGGACGAAATACCAAAGTTGCTGGTGTACTTTTCAACTCTCCTCAAGAGGAATCCCTTTGAGGGTAAACCCGCTGACAACAATTACACAGCGTTCCTTCAGAATACAGCTGGCAATGACATATCACTGCTAGCTGTCATTGTGAAGGTACTCGACGAGCACGACTCTATTTATTTACCCACGTACGCAAGTAACTCCCAGTTCTGCGAGGCCATTGTCACATGTCTTGCGGAAATTCAAATGCCCACGCAGAGGGATAAAGTTAGTAAGTTTAAGGACAGTTCCTTGACCATACAGAATTACGTTAAAACCAGCTGTGATCGTTTCGAGGGGCTCCACAAAGACAGCCTGAGAGTCAAATGTTTGGAGAAACTTTACAACATAATTCAAGACTTGGAGAGAAAATCATTACCAGGAGCTGCACTTGTTAATGTCCTCACGCTGATTGAGGGACCAGAGTCGATACAGCAGGCAGTCCAGTGGATTATTTCAAACCCTCAGAATGACGATAATCTCGAGAGAGCCCTGAAGACACTCTGCACGTGGCTATCCCAGTGGCTGAAGCATGATTGTCTCAGTCTCTGGATATCAGCTTTCATCCAGGGACTCGAGGACAAAAAAAAGTATTCTGTACTTAACAGGGTCGCTGAAGACTGTCTCAAGATGACGATTAAACGGTTACATATGCCTATGGCACATCAGCACGGTATGGCACTTGTTTTTCGTTTACTTGGTAAACAGAGTACGCCGGCCTTGTTTCACCGAGTCATCAAAGACATTGAACAAGCTTTAATGAGTTTGAGTAAAGATTCCACGGACATTGGGAGAAAAACTACCCAGAGCCTTGTTGATTGCTGCAAGGCACTGATGATGAGATTCCCTTCTTATCCGATTTACGAGACACTCGAGAAGTCTTTGCCAGTTGAACCTAGAATGGAAATTGTTAACAGAATACTCAACGCGCCATTGTGGGAGGAGGAGACTAGGGATGAAATGCAGAATATTTTTTTTATAAATAATGGTAAAGTTGGACTCACTAATTTGGGAAATACTTGTTACATGAATAGTGTGCTGCAGGCACTTGTCATGACGAGACAGTTTTGCCACGAGGTGATAAGTTATAAACCACCAGTGGACACTAACGCCAATCTCATACTACGGAAATTACAAAACTTGTTTGCCCTGTTGTTGTATTCGAAGAGAATGTCTTTGTCGCCGACCGAAGTTCTTCAGGCTTCCAGGCCATCGTATTTCACCCCGGGACAGCAGCAGGACAGCTCGGAATTTCTCTGGTTAATAGCCGATATTAATTACCCTTTTATGCCTGGTGCCTTGGTTACTTAATGTTTATGGTTTATTTTCTCAGTCATCTCCTTGACGTCATGTACGAGCAGGAAAAGTCACACCCGCCACAGTCTGATGACCTGGAGATGAAGATTCTTAAATCAACGCCGGAGGAACAGGACGTTGAGGATATGAATGTCGATTCAGAGGGCTGTGGAATCAAGAGATGGATCACAGAGGAGGATTTGACTGAGGGAACGACGTTGGAGAGGAAGACTCAATCGTTGGCTGATTTTAGCGATGGTAAAGATCAAAATTATTCAGTGCAATTAGGTTCAGAGGAAAGAACTATTTTATTGAATTAAGAGTGCACTTTACATTGATTTAGTCATTACATTAATTTAATTCTTATATCTTTACATTAATTTAATCCATTCTTGGATGTTCTCAAATTAGTTTTTAGAAGCAGTTATGTATATTTAATTCAAGGCCCGGATGAATTATGTTTCAATCGAACATTATTTCGATTACTTTTCATGTTCTAAAATATAACACAATTTCCATTGGATTTTACATCATAAGGATATCACTTAGGAGTCCCTAAAAACTATGATTGAATAAAAAAAAGTAGAAAAAAAATTAAAAAATGGAATTAAAAAAAAACACCCAAGATCACGATTGACAGATAATGCGGGCCTTAAGGATATCCAAGTATCTTTTACAGTTTGGCACTCATCACACTAAAGATTCAACCATTTCCAATCATCAAATTTGTCCATTAAATTGCGTGCGAAAAATTTGAAAAATATCTCGAATATACAGCGCCATTAAAATTACATTTTGCACAGAATTACGATTCTTTGAAACACTCATTGTTTATAAGTAAATAATTGAAAGTTTAAACTTTTGGAAACCTTATTTTTTTAGGCATGAAATCGATTTCTGCTAAAATTCTGAATATGAATAAATTGGTTACGACTGCAAATAATTTTTCTGGTGGAAAATTAATTGTTTATAAATTATCTATAAAAAGTTCTCGTAATTTTCCAAAGTAAATTTTCTGTTTTTTTTCAAATTTTTAAAATGTTTCCTAACGGTTCAGTATCGAGGCTAAAATTCAAACCTGCCAAGTTTAACCAATAAGGTTATTGCGAAATATCCAGAAACTTGGGGTCAAATGTGGCTGAAATGAAAGTTCTGATGTTCGACTACAAAAGTAGAAGAGCATTTCACAGGAGAAAAAACAGCCAAAGTACTTGGATATCCTTAAGAATATTTGTCCTGATATGGTTCCACATATACTCACTCAAATTCAAATTTTCTCCTCACAGGTGATGATTTAGCACAAACCCCTCAACTGAGTGACTCCCACTCAGACTCAACAGACAGTGGAATTCAATCAGTAGGCGGTGAAGACTCCTCCACCCCGAACCTAGTGCACCGTGTCTTCGGTGGTGAATCAAAAATCACCTACCAATGTGCCCAATGCGATACCAGCTCCCACAACACCGACAAATTTCGTGACCTGCAGCTCTGCTTCCCCGAGGAGATCCCCGAGAACCAAGAGGTCTCAGTCCAAGACCTTATAAACTACTACTTAATCCCAGAAAATTTAACGGGCGATAATAAGTACCGCTGCGACAAGTGCATGAAGCTCTGCGACGCCCAGAGGATCATAAAACATTTACGTGCCCCAGCCCATCTCATACTCACCCTGAAACACTTTCATTACGACACTGAGAGTCGTTTGCGCACGAAACTGAGACACAAAGTGAGATACAACGAAAAAATTAAACTCGAAGTGTCAACACCAATGTCAATCGAGACAGAAACGTATCAGCTGTATGCAGCAGTCGTACACTCTGGCTACAGCATGGATTATGGCCATTATTTCACCTACGCACGTGACTCGAAGCAAAACTGGTACAAATTCAATGACAGCTATGTTTCTAAAACAACACTGGATGAGTTCAAGGGTTTAGAACCACCAGACACACCTTATATACTTTTTTACGAAAAAGTTACAAAGACTGATGGACTTTACGAGGATGATAAGCCTGAATTAGCTAATTTGAGTAAACACATACAGGATTTAGTGGAGAGAGACACAGCTGCTTACAACGAGGAAATGAGAAAGCAAGCGGAGAAGAAGAAGAATCAGCGTGGACGTCACATATCTCTGCTTAGACGCAATGACAATTCTGATGATGAGAATCCACCTCCAAGCAGTTGTCGTGGAGCAATCGATATACCGACCAATCATTTCTTATATTAATTCGCAAAATTTAGTTGATTCAATGTTACTAACAATAATTTATCTATTTTCTTTCACTCAATCGTCCATTAATTGCAATTCGTTTGATGGCAGTGTACGTGCGAGACATTGGGTTGTAAACGCTTGAATTGTTCATTGTCTGAAGTTATTTATCATTTATTTTTCTACTGGGCATTGGTATACGAATACTTCTTCGAGTTATTCTCCGGCCAAATTTTCTCGAGCTTCCATGGTGTTTAGCTCGTGTTCTTCATGTTCTTGGAGAACTTTTTCTGTTTGGATAGCACTTGCATGGGACGTGAAGGTCATTGGGTTTCGATTGATCAGCTGGAAGGTGAATGTCTGGGGAATTAAGGAATATGGATGAGGAATGATTGGTTTTAATATCGTCACAATTTATAGATATAGAAAAATTTATTAGTTCATTAAAGCAATTAAATCAATTCATAATAGGCATAATTTATTTATTATAATTTTTGGATAATATCATGATTCTTCATGAGAGACGATTAAACTCATTATGTTCATTGTTCATGCTTGTCTGAATGGAAAATGCGAAAAAAAAATGAAAAAAATATTGAAAATAGAAAAAATATTATGATTTCTAATCTTAACAATACAAGGAATAAAAGTGAACGTGTGCCCTGAAGAGTGAAGAAAAATGGGAAATGTTGTCATAGGTGTACATAGCTATATTCAAAAACGTCTATAAAAAAGAAAAAATTAGAGAAAGCAAAGGGAAAAAACTCATTGAACGTGTTGGAAAATCTGTGATAAATTTTTACTCGCATTGCTAATTAATTGCGTTTCACTTCGATACAGTATTCAGACAACTGAATGAAATTTGCAAAATACGGAACTTTGCAATAATAGTTGTATTTTATCGCCAACCAAGTTGATGTGAAATTGCCGTGTTCCATTTGTTCTGTTTTATAATTTACTCAGTCAGACATCGTGTAAATGACAAATTTCAATAAAAAAAGGTACGAATTAACGAATACCGTATGTATATACGTATATTTTTCTTGAAAACATCTTCAATGAAATGACAAATATAAAATCGACAGCACGAGCATACTCTTGGAGAGAATCAATTTTCTCCATTTGGTGACGCCTGATCATCTTTTTACACCTTTTGAAGATATATTTGACCTCATTCAAATTGGGAAATCATGCAGTTTGTGGGAAATCTTTTCGATTACATGCCGTAAATGTAGAAAACTATAGAAAATACAGGTACAAACTGTAGTAGAAAAGCTCTCGAGCTTTCTTCAGTTAAAAACGTGAATTTTAAATTCTTTTTTTTAAATCGTCTCACGCCATGATACGGGCGAGAGTGCGGTGAAATTTGGGAGTCGTCAGGCGTTATAGAGGTGATAGAAATCTACTCCAAAAAATCCTATCCCACAATATCCTGTGACGTCACAAGATCTTGGAACGCTATATAAACTCGTGTCTTCTGTGAAGAAGACGGAAAGAAGTTCCTAACATGAGTTGACAAAACAATCGGGAAATATCCGATAATTTTGAAGGTCTCGTGGTATTACTACTGATTATTTTCCGGGCCTGGATTTCAGCCAATCACAGCGCAGTATTTGAGGTACGATGCTCATTTGTTATCACATCTATTCGGAAATTGCACACTAGCTTTTGGAAATTGCATCTGATAATTGCATAGTAGCTTTTAACTTATTTCTAAGCAATTAAACTTTGCGGTAGATCCTCTCTGTTCAGTTGTGCCTTCAAATACTGTACTCCGTTTGGCCAAAATCCCGTCGCGGAAATTAATCCGTCGAATACCTCTCGATATCCAAAATTAATTTTAATATTTCCTTCAAACTTCCCCGCAAACAAACAAATGCGTCAAGTTTTGGAGAGAAATTTAAGACCTTCATTGTTTTGCAATAACGAAGCTATCGGGAAATATTCCGATAATTTTGAAGGTCTTGGGGTACTATAACTGAAAATTCAATGAAATACCAAATTTTTGAAATCCATTAAGATGAGAATTTTTCAACCTATTTGAATTTTCAATGAAATCATGAATATTCAGTGCTAAATTACAATGGAAAGAACATGTATACCGGAATTTCCCTGATTTCTAGTGATTCACGCACGAAAAAATTTAATAGAAAAATCTATCCAATTCGTTAGAAAATTCTATTGGATTTCTATCAAACTTTCTATTAGTTTTTGGCTGATTCTATTGACATGTTCAGTAGAAAACCTTTAATAGAAAAAGTCAACAGAATTCGATTTTTCTACATAACTTATTCTTTTCATATATTTTCTATAGAATTAACTCGACTCAAATTTTTAAAGTTTTTCTCACTCTATTTTTATTTTTTTTTCATCAAAAAAATCAAACGAAAAAAGTTAGAAAATTTGAGCCGAGGAAATTCTATAGAAAATATCTCAGTAGAATAAGTTGTATAGAAAAATTGAATTCTATTGACTTTTTCTACTGAATATTTTCTATTGAACATTTCAATAGAATCGGCCAAAAGCGAATAGAACAGTATAATAGAAATTCAATACAATTTTCTAACGAATTCGATAGGTTTTTCTATTAAATTTTTTCGCCCGTGTTTTCAGGGAATAATTGAATTGAAACTTACAGTTCTCATTGACTTTTCCATGAAATTCTAAATTTTTAATGAAATTCTTCGAAGTTTCAGTGGAACTAAAATGTGATGAAAAATTTCTAAAAAAATGTACTGGAAATTTCAGTTAAAATTTTTTAACAGTGTTGATGGAAATAGATATCGAGTAATTGTGGACATATCATGGAACACCTAAAAAAGTAAGAAAAATTATGCACTCAACTCATTTTCCTTCGTATGTCAAGCTAAAACATCGATTATCGTGGTTTTGAATTGAAATTTCCCCGGGCAAAAAAAATTTAATCGGATGAAAATTGGGTGGGTCTCACATACTGAGAGATTAAATGACTCAGAAAATTCATCTAATAATATACAGGCTGGGTTCTTGCAATCATTTGTGAACTTCGATATGACAATTTCTCTCTTGACACTTTACATTTAAATTAATGCTGAATTATTTTTCAAAACTTTGGTAGTAACATTATTTTCAACTTCCTGGTTTATATCGGGTACTTATTGTAATGGCCCTAAAATCGAGACCGGAAATTACATGATATCTTCACGTTTCACGAGCTCTAGAAACTTTCTATGAAGTTTTTAGAAGGATGTTGGCATGTGGGTGGGTGTGTGTATGAGAGACAAAGTTTGCCCAACAGTTTCGCTGGAACGAATGCGCCGATTCAGATTTTATTCACGCAATCGATGTGTTCTCTGGTCGACATTGACTCAGCGGGTTTTGACATTTATCAGAAAAACTAGTGGAAAAACTTCGAAAAATTACATTTTTTTGCAGATTTCATTGGTGTTCGTGATAATCGGTGTAGTTTCGTATGACTAAAATTGGATTGAAATTTCTGCTAAATCGTCTCAGCGGTTGTAAAGTTATTCGAATATGATTTTTTCGAAATTTTCAAACTTTTATTTCTGGTAAATCAAAAAAAGGGGATTTAATGGGGAAATTATTAGTTCGACCCATAATAGGTCACACCCACTCCAATTCTCCAATACTAGTTACGCCTAACACAGGAGTGAGCGAAGCGAGCAACACTTAAAAATTTCTTGAAATCATTATGATTTCTTGAAATCAAGTCACTGAGTCATCTGACTTTTCGATGTGGTGAGTTCGAATTCAATTTCAAATAACAGCGTTCACAAAATTTCTCATTCCCTCATGAATCAAACCCAGAGTTAACTTTGGGGTAATTCTGGGTTCATGGAAATTTCCCAGAGTTTCTCTCCGCGGACGAAAAAATTTAATAGAAAAACCTATCGAATTCGTTAGAAAATTCTATTGAATTTCTATTAAACTGTTATTAGTTTTTGGCCGACTCTATTGAAATGTTCAATAGAAAATATTCAGTAGAAAAAGTCAATAGAATTCAATTTTTCTATATAACTTATTCTATTGAGATATTTTCTATAGAATTTCCTCGGCTCAAATTTTCTAAGTTTTTTCGTTTGATTTCCTTGATGAGAAGAAAATAAAAACAGAATGAAAAAAACATGGAAAATTTGAGTCGAGCAAATTCTATAGAAAATATATGAAAAGAATAAGTTGTACAGAAAAATCGAATTCTGTTGACTTTTCCTATTAAATGTTTTCTACTGAACATGTCAATAGAATCAGCCAAGAACTAATAGAAAGTTTGATAGAAATTCAATAGAATTTTCTAACGAATTCGATAGGTTTTTCTATTAAATTTTTTCGTGCGTGTCTTTCGTCGCTGGGTTTTTTCCATAAACCCAGAGTTAACTCTGGGTTTGATCTATAAAGATTCATCTCGAAACTTCAAGAACATTGGATTTTTCATGTTAAACAATCATTTATTTTTCAATAAAAACTAGAATTTCAGTACTCATGGCAAAAAAAAACACCACCTACAATTCAATTTTTAATCGATTGAGAGTTCAGAAAAGTTGTTGTCTGAATTTTCCAAGTTTTCAATGTCTTTCAATGCCGTATGGATCTGAAAATCGACAATTGGTTGAATATTCAAGAAATTAATCGACTCGTCAATGAACAAACATACAGAAATTTTACGGAACTGTCGTTGTTAAAAATTCCAATCTTTTTTCACTTGAAATTTCAAGAGTAATTTTCTAACAGTGAATTTTATACTATCATTTTGTATTTACAATTTATGGAATTTCATGAATATTAGTAGAGTATGCATAATTCCTGTTATGCAAACCTCTATATTAATTAATACTCAATGGGTACTCGACACAGAATATTTTATAGTTTATTGTAGCTTTGTACTGAAATTACATTGTTTGAATATTTCAAATATCCCATCATTTCTGTCCACTACTGTCGTAATTACGTTACGAAAATTATTTCTATTCACGAAGAAGCAACTTTGAGTCTCAAGAAATTATAAATTATATGTGGCGAAAAAATTTTAGGGAAAATTACGCGTTGAAAATTTCAACTTGTAATGTCTCTCTAGGAACATTATTTGAAATAGCAAAGATAACGTAAGGCAAAAGATAATATCTCCCTTTTACTGTAAAAGTTTAATCCGCAATATAATTCTTACGTGACTATCTTCGTCTCTTTGCGACAGAAATGATCCCTTCTGACAGAGTCATAAATCAAACCACGGTGACTGTTTGAAATAATTTGGCTTTCTAATTATTTTTCGTGAGTTATTTTCGTCTATGTCAACACGGTAGAACTATCTGAGACATCTCCGGAAATTAACATTTGCAAAAAATATCTGAAAATATGATGACGTCGAAATGAAGATGTGTATTTAATGAAGTAACATTTTTCAAATCAGTCAAGTACACTGCGAGAAAAATCTGAAGTTCGATTTACAATAACAAAAAAGTTGAGGCATTTTGGTGAACGCCACGATTTTTTTTTGTATGCGGCACATAACATTATAGTAATTTCACAAGCGTAATTTTTGCAAATCAAAATGCAGTTAAACTAACCAAAGTTCAAAAGTAACCATGACAAATCTATCGCGAGGAGAACTATAAAATAGTTGCAATGACTACATTCCATTGTAGTAATTACTTCTCCGGCCATAGTTACCGTAACCCATGAAAAATTGTTGAGGACTTTTTGACTATAATTCGATGGTGATGGAATATAGTCAGAAGAATTATATTCTCAGTGTGTGTATTGAACACCTCACGCTCTCTTCTTTGGTGTTGTATTATGGGAGGATCGACATGCAAACGTATAGAATAATTCAATTAAAAAATAGCCCATTTGAAAGGAAATTGAATTGGCTTCCTTCTGAAATTCAATTTGTTTTTCGATAATTTTTATGTATCAAAAAGCGTGTCGCCAGCCGCCATGATCCTCATTCTGACCCTTGTGACTCTTAATCTGACCCTCGTGACCCTCACTACACCCCTCGTGACCCTCACTTTGACCCTTC